ATGTAATATTGCATTGGAAGATCAAATACGTAAAGCTATAAATGTTACAATCTACTTAGCAACTTACAAAATTTAGGAAATCTTCTGACCTCTTCCAAAAGCAACTGTATAGTTTTATATATATATATATATATATGTATCCAGTACCTAATACCTGGCTGTTTCATTCGGAAGAACTGTCGAATAATTCGATGGCAGTAAAAGTATGGAACAAATCATTGAAAGAATAAGCCTAAGTTAGTAATTACTTGAATTTGAAAAGCTGTAAGATCAGTGGCATAGGACGGTTTAACAAAAAAGACAAAAGGTCATCCTCTCATCAAGGACACTGAAGAGTGCAGTCCTGTTAGTCAGCAAAACTGCATGATCTGTTCCCTTTTTATTGTTTCAGCTGACGAAAATTTCATCACAATATTAAGACAGCACCATCATTTTCATAAAAAAGGGCAGCAAAAGTCGTGAATTGGTCACGAGGAGGAATCAAGAATAATGAAACCCCGTTATCGCGGTTAATGCAATAATAAAAGTTGAGAGATTCTATTACCCGCATAAAATAGATCACAACTCCAACAAAGTTATCGCTCATAGAAATAAACATATGTAGGGAACACTCGAAATATTCATTTCATTGTGCAATTATTACGTTTCTAATAACGTTCTAACCCTTCAGTAAAGCAATTCAGTGCTCTCGCATCAACAAGGGTTTCGGAAAGAGAACTAGAGGTTTCAGTTCAGAAGCGCTACGATGAGAACTAAACCTATTTGTTATTCACTATTCTACACATTCAGCTTCTAACTTTATTTCTCTTCAGCGAAGAAGCACTGAAACAATATATCCGTCAACATAACTGCGAACGGTGCATACATTTTGATGAGCAGACCAAAAAGTGCTCGAAAACACAGAAAGGATTAGAAAAAAGTTAAACAGAATCTTTATTTACAGACAATGGCACTGTAACCAGAGAAAAATGAGTAATCTGAAGCAAGCAATACATGAAGATCATGAACACTTCAATTCAAAAACTTGGGACGTTTATAACATTTTAAGTATATATTCGGATACAGCTGAAAAGAATGAGCAAAACGAATAAAATTAATAGATTACTTGTCACTGGGAGGGAGGAACTGGTTGTTCCGTTTGTTTGTTAACGTTAAAAAATGACCGACCAGATGGTTGGCTCGCCATCCACCAACGGGACTGAATGGTTTTCCATGGTATTTGTCGATTCATTTAATGCAGGTGACTCCGAATCACCGGGTTTCAGGATCGATTCGATGGAATAAGCCTGTTGTGACGAAAACGATGGCGACATACTCCGATTACTACTACGCATGATTACTGCAACGTTGTTTGCAATGGCTGCGTAAGCGGCTGCTGCAGCTGCCGCCTCAGTCATTGCTGGCAGCCCACACTGATCAAAGACCGGACTCTCTTGCTCGGCTCCTCTGATCTGAAAAATGCTCCGCCCGCAAAATTTATGTGAAGAAAACGAAAAAGAAAACGTACTCTTACACTGACACATACACATACACACACACACACACACATTCTTTTACATACACACATACACATAGACGGCAACGATCAAAACAGCATCGGGGAAATCACTTGGAGTTTGGAGGAGTAGACTGGAGGGGAAGCAGAGTAACAACGTTCTCCTAAAGTGAACTAAAATCGCTAATGAAAGTGTACCCTAATCTGTGTTCTCTTTCCCTGCCTATAAAGAACACCGGAATGCATACAGATGGTGGGTACTTAGGTTGATCGGAAGATCTGGGAAGAGGGTGGCTAACCGCCAACAAATAAGCTGTCAAATTGTAAAGTACGTAGCGAAAAGTAAAAACGAAGTCATCCAGTTGCCTGCACTTATTCCCTACTCTGGCTGCTTCATGCTAAAACTTATATATATATGTATACCTGCTCTATGTCTATGCTTAATTCTGTAAATGTATTCGAGATGAATGTACGCAAACTCCACAACTCTCTATATATAAATCTATAAATGATCTAAAATTGAATTTAACAATACAACAAACCCAAATGCACAGAACAAACGGGTATTATTCGTACGCATGTTCGAAGATCACACTCCTCACCCCTCCCTTCCTATCCCATTAGGCGAGTGAAATTTGGAATAACATCACTACTGCTAGTCCACTTCACGACAGCACAGCTTGTCCCTGTCCTCTTATCTTAAACCTTAACAGAGTTCTCAGAACAACACTTTCTCTTCCCCTCTCTCTTCCTCTCCTACCACCCCTGCCCATTGGCGGTCATAAACAGTTTGGGTCTGTTCCTTTCATGTTACTACCACTATCGTTGAAATATAAATACGAAGTATTGTTGCCTGCGCTGCTAATTAGTGCAATACTTCCAGTGCCCACATCTCCTTGCATTTGTACGATTTCAGTTGCTCTTTCATTCCTCCTCACCTATCTTTCTTTATTTCTGCTTTCGTTACTCTACCACTTTAGTTTGAGAACATCTGTCTACCCTCCACTGTGATTATGTAACTGATAGTGTTGACACATTAAGGAAGAGATACAGTCAACATGACGTGATATTCATTATATTCCGCACAAATATATAGCAAATTTTTTACTTCTAGCAAATTCAAAAATGTCGTGAGCTGACAAATTGTTTAGGATTCAGTATCATTTCATTCTCACCATTGCTTCATTTACGGAAAGAATGTATGACTTACATTATATAATGTCAGACCCGACAGTTATAATGAAGTAAGTATAAATGTCGAATTAAGCACTAATTTCTGATCCCAAAAAATTTCAGAAATTTGCTCTTAAAGCGGTGCACAGTGTATCCATCAGAAAGCACTCACATAACTGAAGGAGGAAATATATCCGCAATGATTAAAAAAATGAACATACATTAAGCAGAACATCATCATTTGATATTCCAGGAATTTTGCATACCATTTAAAACACCCAATATAATGATATGGCGCTCAATATAAACGAATGATCGGGAGCTCGGTGTACTTTTCAGTACAATGCAATTCTAGTGAGTAAAACCATACTCTACAAAGTTATTTCATTTTTTAAATTAATAACAACAGAAAGCGGAGAATTTATGAGGGTTAAGATCCAGCCAGATAAGAATCATAAAGTGGCTAACGAAACATAGTTTCAAAACATATGGAGAAACACTGCAGTACACAAAGCACGCAACAGCTTCACTGCAATACTCCCTGTTCCTATGGGATTTATTTTCCCGGAAACCGTCTTCTACTCCTACTCACCTATCTTCATCCTACTTATGCGCTTTCTAGACATACAACAAATGGAACAGTAACTGCATGGTAAGTTTTGACCGAATGCAAGTAAATCAACATTCCCAAAAGAATACATTTACTGTCAAATGCAATATTTCAATACTTACTTTTTTTTTCTAACAAAAAATGCACCAATGTTTACACACATACACGCACATACAAACACACATGCATACAGACACACACATATAGACACACATACATACACACATACAGACATACACACACAACCAAATACAACAGGAGAAAACAGAACTATAATAAAATATATATATAAAACTAGTTTCACATAATGTTTAATTCACGACTTTAATTGGCTACTTACGTTTAGCCACGTCATGTACGACACGGTAATAGGTGCATAACATAGTACGGCGTTCCCCTTCAGAATTTTTACCACGCAAGGTTTCATCCTCAAGAAGTGAAAACGACTGCTATTGCACTATTTTATTACTTTATTAGAAGGAAAGGGTGCGTAAGACGTATTTAAGATAAGCCACTTCAATCCCTAAAGTAGAATTCATATTTACCAAAGCTAGATTTCCTCCCATTGACCTGGAGGGAAATCTAGTTTGGTTGTCCACTATCTGACCTAACAGTTCCTAAATGCCCAGTTTAGCACTCGCCTCATGTGCATAGACCCGATATAGATTCACTAATTTCTAGCAAAGCTAGTTCCACGGCATGTTATTCCAAATTTTCAGATTGTTTCTGTAATTTAAATCCTGTCGCAAAAATAATTCATGAGCTATTTGATGGGACTCATCTATTTTTCGGAATTGCAATTTTTTTCACGGATTTCCAAATTTAATAAAAATCTGCTGTTTAAACTTATTCCAATACTTTTTTCCCGATCACTGCAAACCTTGTTTAAATAGATCGTGAAAGTCACCGAAGGGAAGAGGAGAAGGGGTCGGGAGAACTGTCAAAATTCACAGCTATTTCTTCGTATCATTGTCATTTGGGTCGACGACGAACAAACATAGACGTTTTGAAGCAGTGCTTCTTCAGTTAGGATGAGGTTCTCCACTCATCGCCAATATATTTACGAAAAATCTGATCAAAACTCAGCATCCATACATACATTTACGTACTCAACCTTATAATGTTTGCTGTCTTCTCGTCAGTCCGTCTGCCTGTTTGTTTACATCGCCCGTTACGTATAGGAAATTAGTGAAAACAATGTCAGCTGCTTGTTTTCTGAAATTCTTGCAGAGTCAATTGACCCTTATGATTGAACTTAGTACATTCCAGCGTATCGTCATTGACAGTTTATCTGTATATGTTTTACGATACAAAAATAAAACCAGTGAGTAAATGATCAAAGTGGTTAACTAAAGTCAAGTGACAGCAATAATTTGAAAATATTATTTATGCAGAAACAAGTAATCAAAAAATCTCGGACAACTGTCTGATATCATATAGGCTTGTTGGAGACTAAAACTATTCGAGTATGGTGGAAGTTATCTAATCCGGAACCATTTCCAATGATGGCTTCTCCAGGTTCAAAAAATTGGGCTAAATTTTCGAAAAACTTTATCCTATTTCGATGTTGGCCGTGCAGTGTTACATATTAGACTTTCTTATCATTTGAAATTCAACCTTATGTAATGAAACACTTATCTTGTAAAATAATTTCTAACACACTCATAACACTTCAGTATTCAGGTAAATGAATTTTTATTCAATCCAAGCTATATTCAACCATCAGGGCAGAAAATGGCTAAAAGACCTTGGCTGTGTTCCGCAGTAAGCTCCCGTCGACGTATACCCACAGCTGCCGGTCGAAATCGTTCCTGGCCAGTACGGTCGCATGAGATGTGCAGACCGCTTATCTGAAATTGCCGGCTGAATGAAAGGCGCGTACGACACACCAGCAGAACGCATTTTGGGCATCGAGTGATGATAATGTTGAAGCAGGAATTGAGGGGGATGATAGCTTGTCAGTGAAGCTGAAAACTGGATCTAATCATTATTTAAAAAGTCAAAAATATTTGAAAATTAAGTTGGATTGGGAAAAATTGAAATCAGAAATCAAATATTGCTTTAGAATTACAATTTATAACGAATTAACATCAAATGCTAAATATTACACATTGCACACTTCAAATTAAAAATACGGTATTTAGAAAGTTATTAGAAGTCTCGGACTGCCAATCTGTTGAAGAATTTGAAGATTATAACTTCTTAGAACTTGCTTGGTTTTGTAACTTTTATGGCTTCCAAACCGGCAAATTTGGTGATATGATACAAAAAATACCCTCAATATATAGTCCTTGAAGTCTCCAAGATATTGCGACACTAAGGTACTGAAAGTTTTGTAGCCATCTTACCAAGTGTTTTCAATATCGTAGTTTTTGATTTCTGAAATTCCCTAACAAAACAGCCATAGTTTTTGTGCTAGAAATATCTTATGTCTTCACACTTTAGAAGTTTGATACTGCTAAAGTTATGGGGAATATTCCAAGAACCGAGTTGATTATTTAGGAATGAAAAAATGCTATACGTCGATATTGCTGCGCCGATGTTGTGACTGCTGACACCAATTCACCACTGCAGTTACTTTGACAAGACTGTGCCAGTCTGTTGAAATCAAATCTGTAGGCGTAACGTTTTCCGTGGACCTAAAATAGTTATTTTGATTAGAAAAAACCGAAATATGAAACTTGTTATATTTTTTAATTTTTGCATTTCAACGAAGAGGAACTTGTTGGTTGATCCTAATAGGCTTGCACATGTGTGTAGCATAAATTATTGGTTAATAATTTCTGAACTAAGAATGAAAAAATGCTATTGATAAAGAAGTGCTATAAGTGATACTTGAAATAACTGTGCTTGGGTTACGTTAACCTTTTAATAACAAAACAAAACAAAACGGTTTTTAATAACAAAAGAAGTCGAGCTGATGGTTTTGAGTTTATTTTCTAAAAATTGATGGTCATTTATTTGTTCGGCGAGTAAAATCTTTCAAAAGGAAAGAAAAACATTTCATATAGACTATAACTAAGGTATTCAGAAAAGCCTAATAAACAGATGTTTCAAAATTAATCGAGGCTTCATAAAATTGGAGAAATGTTCGAAATTATGAAAAAATTGGTGCTGTAACCTTTGTCATGATATTTTTATCGTAATAATATCGCAAAGCACGGCTAAGCTTATCATAGTTCATATTTGGTTTACTGAAAAAATAAAAAAATATTTCAGATCCAACGAAGTTATAGTATTTTTGAATTAATTTTTGAAATTTCAAAATATCAATTAAAGGAAAAAAGACAAAGAACTATCTTCATTTTAAGATAACCATGGAGAAGTAAACTGGGATCTGTATTTTCTGTAACAAACCTTTTCCTTTCGCCCCATTTTCTAGCCACTTCGTCTGGGTCTAACAATTTGAATTCACCATTTTGGCCCTCCCAAGTGATACAGTGCGCATTACTATGTGTATCAGAAAGTAATTCAAGGAGGAATTGCCACAGCTGTATTTGACCACTTCCTGAATTTTAAGTTGGAAGTTTCACAGTACTGAATTGCTATTATATTGCAAAATCGTTATTATGCCTCTTTTTTGAGACTCAAATACTTAAAACTTTTGTGACTCAAATACTTGAAAATAGATCTATACCTAAAATTATTTATGGTTCTGTAATTATTTAATCCTGCGAACTTTACGATACCATTAACATTATTTCCTGCAGTGGTATAACAGCTTATCATTGTAGATCTGGGGCTTTCACATGACCTATTGATTTAATGATATAGCTCAAAAATGCCAGACCCACAGAGTGTCAGTGTAGTAATTACTAAACATGGCGAAATAAAACATTTTTCAAGTCTCCTGAAGTTTTATGAGGTGAAGCATTGAACAGTCTCAAAAACATGAAAAACTTGAGCTTCATAAAATAATTGAAGCAAGATTCCTGAAATCGCATTTATAAAAAATATGTGGCGGTACTGGTAGTAAGATTTGATTGATGCGTTAATAAGCAATGGAAGTGTGTGTTATATGCTTAATGGATGTATTATTACAGGAGCTGGAAATGAAAAGAGCACAACAGAAGCACTTAAGCAGATCGACTGATGTTCTCCACTCACCTTCGATCTTTCATAATGAAGCTTACCTGGAGTAACCTTTATTGCAATAAGCTTCTTTGACGTACAAACTCAGCTGGAGATCGTTCTATATCCAGTCAGCGCAACTTTTGACACCCCAGAATTTATACACATTTCAACTCATAATGGAAACAAATGATATGAAAAATTTAATCAGCAATTGAAAATTCAGTTCATTCTATTTGGCATATCTTGGCAAATCTGTTATAAACTAAAGAAAAAGAAAAAATTACTTAAAATATTACATTTCATAATAATTACATTAATGATTAATAAATATTCTGTCAGCTATGGATCGCTTGTTCAGAAATTTAGAAAAACTATTCAATCAAATGTCTAAATTAGCTGTAACTAATGCTGAAGATTCGTCCTGCATTACTTATTCATTATATCTGGACAAATATAAAAAACATACTTAAGATGATGTAGCAAAAATTTGTGTTAATATTCAGAAATTACCACAGATTGAAAATACCACAGAAGTATTAGTTATAGTTGGTAAAATAATGACAGCGGTGAAGAAATATCAATCAGCTAACAAGGAAAAGAAAGCATTTCTATTTGTTAGCAACTCCCTACGTTGTCATTAATTCGTTCGCATCGATGAATGTTGCTGTTACGCAGATGTTGTCTTATACGGTAACTATTGACTCAACTAGTAGTGACATTGCCATAGCTTATCAGACACTTTTTTATATCAGAAAAAAAATTTTTAATAAATAAAATAAATATATTCATATTTACGAATACGAATAACTTCACGAATAGCACCACATTTTCGCTAAATTAACAATAACTGCTGTCGGGTGCTGCTCAAATGTAATACAGTTTGAAATGTCTCTGAATGTGTTAGTTTTGTATTTTAAAATGCTTCAGTATAACACTTCAACTAGAGGAAGAACATATCGAAGTTAAAAGAAACTGTTGAGCTGCTAAGGTAATTGCCATCAAAAAAGAGAAAAAAGGCTTCCTATAATATATCGATTTTCTGAAAACTTCGGATACTAATTTTTTGCATCTTCATCTTATGAATATATCATACAAATACACGGAGAATCACAATCAAGTAAACTTAAAGCTAATTTAATGATTGAAATATTCAAGTTCTAAACATTGAAATACAGTTGAATTCAAATTTTATGACTTTAAATTTTATAGAAACCAATAAGATAAGCCCGAAATTTTGGCATCCACATACCGATTCGTTATTTTTAGGAGTTACAATTATCTTAATTTCGAAAATTCCATGGACATACTCAGTAACAATAGAAGCACTTTGTTATTTTCTGATACATACTAGAATTGAGAAGAATTTTAACTCATCAAACCAAAACATTCAACAAAACAAACTAAAACATTCAACAAAACATTGATTTTGCTCTCTACGTTTTCGTACTTATTCTTTGAAAACTTAGGATCTAAAATTATTCATTTTTTGAATTCCAATGAAGTTTTCAAGCATATCTGTCTATCTATCTCTATATATGAAGATGTACTGAGGTAACAAGAAATTATAAATCCTTCATTCAAAAATATTATTAACTGATTATTTATAATTTCAGATTTCCACAACAAGAAACAGCAAACCTGGATAAATAAAATTATGCTGCAAATCCGTTATGGTGGTTGCTTGTGCTTCCAATTGTATACCAAATTTGTCTCCATCCTGATCTACAATTTTATGCCGAACAATACTCCTCATTAAAATGAAAAAAGGCGGAGACAGAAAAACCTGATAAATGCATTCAGAAAAGTGTTATCTATTGTAATTCAAATCTTTGACTAATATAGAATCAAATAAGACAGGAATGACCAATGATAAGCAAATGATGAAATGAACTATCTTTGTGAGTTATTTGGTTCATTTAACTGGTTACCATTTTGAATTTACAATTTTTTTTAAAGTCTCTTTCTAGATAGCAACGATAAGTTGGCTGTTTTCATTTACGGTATCAACTAACAAAAACTTGCACTGAGATAATATGCATATTCCTAGATAGCTGCTCAAGCTAGATCAGGAGGATAGCTCTATATCTTGCACGCTTCTAAAAATCCAATTATTTCAACATCCCATTCCTTTTTATTTTACAAACACAAAAAATACATTTTTGATACAATCTTCAAAAAAATGTAGTTATGTCCAAAATATATCTACATTGTTGAATATATACTAATATGGAAAATATATTTATAAAAATGTATTTATATCGAAAATAGATTTATATTGAAGACATATTTATATCGTCAAATATATTTACATTAAAAAATCGATTAGCAAATTACCATTTAAGGGAAGCAAATCTTAAAATAGAAAAAGAATAAGGAAACTATCAAATGATGAAAGCCAAGGTATTAGAACCTTTTGGTAAGTGAAAAGGGTGGAGGAAGGATGGGGTATAAAAAATACCAGAAAATGATATATTTTAGGATGTGATTGTGTTAATGATTGGTGGTGAGGTTTTCGAATATCCGGTCAGCAACCGAAAACAGGAAGCGGACCATTGGAGGAAAAGTAGAAAAGGAGAGCGAGCCCAACAATTAGGAGGAAAACCCGTCAAAGCTTTCCTTCGCTTCCTGAATCAAGCTCTCTCATTTCCTGTAAATCAGTTTCATCCGCTACAGCACCAGCTGTATATATTTACTTATGTTGAAAGTTCGTATAATCTTCATATGATATCATTTTTTCCCGGTCAATGTATACATGAACCAAAATTAAATCGTTAGTGCATCCACCAACTAACCGAGAGTGGCTGCTGCTAATGTTCCAGTAGGCTTCATTTTCTGCTTCACGTGCTGTTTCGTAGAAGCCAATCGTGGATAATCCATCAGTGGTACTTAATTAATAGGTAGTAGGGGTGTCGTTAGGTAATTTTGGTAGTCTATCAGTAGCTGCTCACTACTTAACGGGTAATAACAAGAATAGTGGTAATAGATGGAACTCTCTTTTTTCCACTTTAAATTGAATGGTTCAAGGGGAAGCTAAATTCTAGATTACTTCAAGCAATCCAGAGCACTTAAAATGTTACTGCCAAAGCAAAGCAAATGCCCACCTACCGTACTTCCTCCTTAGGCGCTTCCATAGCAACACTTCATTGCTTGATTTAATACACATACATTCATACATACATACACACATACATACCTACATACAACATACATACATACATACATACATACATACATACACACATACACACACACACGTCACAGTTGGAGAGAGACTTCTTCACTCAGTCGCATTTGATCACCCCACAGATGTTTTTTACCGTCCCTTCAACAGTCGTATGTATTTTTGATTCAAATCGGTTTCTGAAAATACTATGCTTCAGCTAAATATCAAGAATATTAAATTCAGTTGAATATATAAAACATTCCCTTCATACCTTCCCAGTTAAACTTTTCAAAAAATTTATTTGGAACACATTTAGTTCGGCGACAAATCATTCCTACTATAGGTCAACCGACGAGCAGTCTTGTTTTTTCCCAGAACACAAAGATAACTCCATACTCCAAATTTTGCCATTAATTTACTGACCACACAAGTAACTGGCATTAAATTTAATGATGCTATGCTTACCAGAACTAATCCTTATTATCAACAGGACTTTGTTATATTTAACAACAGCGTAAATTTAAATATCAGTCTATTCACTGATAAGAAGGAATTGCCGTGTCCTTTCTAGAGGGAGCTAAAAACATGGTCCGGTAAACGCCAACATCGTTAAACAAGGATATTCAATTATTCAGTGATGGCGTAAAAACCCTTCCGCCTGTTAATCATTTGAAGCATTCTGGTGCGCAATTTACCCCAACTGGTTATATAAATCATAAAGATCCAATTACTTCAATTCACTCCCATTACACTATGCATAGTTGTAGAACATAAAATTTCTGATATTTGGAAGACTATTTAGTACGAAATTCCACTGAAAAACCTGAATGAAGAAACAAACGCTAAGTCAATACGGACTTTCGTAAAAAGTGCCAGAAAGAATACTCCTTAGCCATAAATTTCAATACGGTTAACTGTTTGCAGTTAGTGCCAAAAAAGTCCTAAATTGAAAAAGTATAGCATTTAAAAAAAGAAACTACATCCTTTAGCTTCAAAAATGTTTTATACGAAAAAAAAAAAAAAAATGTTTCTTCAAAAAAAAAAAAATCTTTTGTTTTATACGGATTTTGCATAAAATGTTGACTTTTGTAGCTTTCGAGTAAAGAAACAATTCTTAACAAATTGTATAAAAAGAATTGAAAACCGGAATGCGGCAAAACTTATCCTTGATTAAGAAGCGTAAAGATGTTATAGCGACGAAATCCGATTAAATGAACGCGTTTCAATTACACCGAATCATAACAGAAAACAAATGAACTACGTGAAAGCTTATTTTGCTAGTTGGAGTACAAACGCACGTGCACTTCATTGCAATAATGACGTAAGGAAAAGTTATATATCGCATAATGGCTATAGAATATCATAGCAAGAAATAAATTAACGTTGCTTATGATAGTCAATAGGAGAAACAATTTAAAAAAGCATAGAACACAATTATTCAGTGGGAACAAATACTTTTTGAATTAAAAAACCAAATTTTAATGTATAGCAATTCCTTAAATAGATATGGCTAGTTCAAATTTCATCGGATATGAAAATCTAAATTATAATTTAACCAGAAAACGGTATTTAATTTTCTCCTGAAAGTCACCAGCTATTCACTTGTCGGCATTACAACTGAAGTTATAATTACCATGATATGCTGGCCTCTATTCTACAGCCTATCTAAAAAACAAAACCTAAGTCGTAGAAGACGTCTCAATTATACCAAATGCCTCTTCAATTCAAACAAATTTTAGCACCTTCACCACGTTCAGGCGATATAAGTGTAAAATTAAGAAAGCCATATGGAAGATTATGAAAATCAACAGCCATTACTCGGCCGCCAGCATCCTCTTCTTAGCAAATGTAATTATATCATCCAAATTATGGATTTTCTTTTCAAATTACGGATCCATATGGCAAGCTTGCACTAGATTTGTCGACTAAATACATGTAAAAGCATTCTAAAAATAATTTGAAACCATTATTATTCCACTGCAAAATACATTCTAAAACACACCACAAACCAAACTGGAAAAATCACGCCAGATCCTCTATTAACGCACATATTGGAGATACCACTGAGTTTTTCGAGACATTTTTGTTTCTGTTATGTCAGAAATATATGATTTGTTATAATTATTTTCAGTTTTTTGGAATGATTTCAAATTATTTACAAATTTATCGTGTTTCTCTTTTAATCATGTTTTAATCATGACTTAATCATAACTAAATCTGCAAAGCACACAATAAGCAAACTTATCTTCCTTTTCATCCCGGAAATCGTAATAGACGGAAAGGTCTTTTATTGCCTTCTATGTTCATTACTTCTTCCTTCTCTTCCCGAGATCCTATGCAATTGGGGTAACGAATGAGAATCGAAATGCTAGATAACCAACATTTCCAAAAACAACTTTCAAGTATAATCGGGACAAAAAATTCCATAGGAGTTAAAATTTAGAAAAGCTATTATCCTAGTAAATCACAAAGAAATTTTAAATAGAGGATGTCGTCTACTTCTTGTTTCTTGGTCAAAATGCATACTGCTTGGTGAGTAGATGAATTTTTAAATAGTCTACCAGCCATCGATCATACATATCAGACGAGCGATGAATATGAAGCGGGTTTGATTTCACATGGAATTAGTATAGTTAACAAAAGAAATTTTGTTCAAAAAATCCACTTTATATGATTTTTCTACTACTTATAATCAGCTAGTAGTGGAGAAACTGTCGTGTAATATCTCGAAAGCATTATCTCATATAATCCAATCAATAGTTATCAGTAGCTGAGGCCCAGTACTGTACAATTTTATGATGCCATTACCTCAATATTTAGACATAATGAAAATGTAAAAACTATTTGAAAATATTCAACAGTTTAAAGAACCATCTTCACACAAATCACATCCAAATCTGTTGCATCGCCTCTCTGTGTTTTTTATACTTGCTTCACATATTCTTGCAAGCTATTGTGGTCAACTTTGTTAGCATTTTTCTTTCAAGACCTATCACCACTTCTTTGTGATCCACTTTCCAGTAAAAGCTGATAAGAAAACATTTGTAATGTTAATAGACCAACGTATGCGTAAATAGTAAATGAGGACATAATAGCAATCATCAATAAATTCATATCACAATATTTCCAGAAACAATACACTTCAACACGACTCATGTGTGTAAAAGAGGATCCATAGAACTAAGCAACTATGAAGGTGACGGAAAGTACTGAACTAAAAACATACTGATCATGGATAAAAAAAGGTAGGTTATATATCCAGAGTTCTTGAAACTGAACTTTCCATTTGAATTTAACACCTCCATTATTTTTTATGGTTTCACAAAATACCAACGACTAACTAGAAGATTCACTTTATTAAAAAGGAAGAGACAAAAGACCACTCTCAAAGCATAAGCTACCGATTATAAGACGTGGAAAAGAAACAGTGTATAAACAGCAACAATTCGATATCCTCTTTGTATCAAGTTAAACAATCTTCAAGATGACCGAACCACTTGCTGAGTAGGCAATCATAAATACTTTCTTACCAGTCCAACCTAAAAAATTGCTCTATTATATCAACTGCGAAAGATCACAAGCAACAAACACAAACCAAGTTGTACTGCATTATTGATAATATGTGCATGTGTATACAATACTTCGTTTGTAGGACGAAGAAATGGGTTTTCTGGTACCAGTGAATGTTCAACAGATACGATAGAACAACTGAGTAACCCACATCCTCAAATAAGTCTGGAATATATGCAAAAAAATAGCTTAACACAAAAGCACTCCAGAATGTCTAAAACAAAGAAGCTCAGTTACTCCATAAGATTTGGAGGAAGCTGCTACATAACTACCACCATAACAATGATGTAACAAATACGGAAGTAAGTTGAGCACTGGAAATAAAACCATCCAATCAATCCAAGTTAACGGTTATAATTTGCTTTAGAAAGTCTTAATTCCAATAAATTAACTTCTCAGGAAACATACAAGAACTTGCCGGTGACAATATGATAAAATACGAATCTTGAGTGATCGAGAACCAGTGTAAAAAACGGCTATAGAATTTTCACGCTGCTACTACTTGTAGTCACCATTGTTGAGATCCTACCCAGTCGATTTCACGTAACTCTTTATTGTCAATTTTGAACAGAATATATAAGAAAGTTATAATCTCACTAAATCATTATCAGAAGGAAAACGATGTAGGAATTGTTTTCTTCTATGAAATAAAAGTAAATTCTGACAAATCTCAGAAACTTTTACCGCTTTCAAGAGTTACCAGAGGAAAAGTCCCAATCATATACTAAATAAACAATAAAACTTGAAACTTAAACGAGAATACAACAAAACACAACTGATGAACGCTAACTGTAATACTTAACAAGTCGTTTAGCTTTTTGTTCCGTATTTAAAATGAATTGCGGTGAATTCAGAAAAGACCACAAAATCTGTGTGTAATAATTTCATGATAGGAACCACATATTTAAGAAATGTGTAGAATTTTTTTTGAAAACGTCGAGTTTTTTGCAAGGTAAAAAATTCATGATAGAAAAGTAACTCAAGACTTGTGGGGAAGGTTTCCATAATTGCATACGTTGTCCAACCGTGGTATTTTAAAAAAACCTTTGCTATCATCAGCTAACTAAAATTCCTACATTTTGGAAAACGTACTACATGACCTGAAGCAAAATATTATCAAGCAAACACAAAGATTGTCAAGTATTGTGATATTTTTTATGGAACTCTGCATGATTTAGCTCCTTTCTGAAAACGAGAAAAAAAGAATTTCTAATGCTAAACAAAATACCAGTATTTGCCTTTTACCTCAACAACAGTGCTTAATACGGCTGATTGTTAAACAGAAAGTTTGTCACATAAATGGTCTTTATAACTCGTTCCTGAGCTATCGAGGCTATATCATCCACACTACTTTTCAAGGTATTCATCACGTGTGGCTCATTATGACTAAATGAACAACTCAGTATGAAAGTATCTCACCATGCAGTAAACAATAACATCTGCATGAAACGGATTATATTTGAAAATTCTCGAGTTTGCAGTCTCTTTAATACATTAACGTTCAACTTTTAAATGTTTCATTTTTTTCTGTCCCAAAAGTCCAACTGATAAAAACGTCAGTGAATTTTGGGGATGGTCGACGGTGTCTCCATTATAGAATAGGATAAGAAACTATTAACCGCTGCTGATTTAAATTAACCAAGCCACGCAAAAGATGCAATAGAGCAAAAGAATCAATATAGGACCGAATATATACATAAAAATATTCACTTGCTACACAGAAACCAAGAATATTGGATTTATCTTTGTTAAAATGCACGTAGCCGGGGTCAAACGAGATTTCTTTCCCCATAGTTATAAAAACTGCATCCACACATCACTTTGCCCTTGCACTCAAACTACTATTCCTTTGGGTGAGGATTACAAGTCGGCTAGCACGGATGTTGACTTTGATCAAGATTTCCAGGTAGGTGGAAATATAATGAAGCATTCAAGTACGACTCTTCGTAGTATCACGCATACAAGTCGTTCAATTTCGTCAAATAAAAGTTCCCGTAAAGCATATTAGATTTCTCCTCAGTCTCAACGAAAACTTACACCTCTATTCGGTACATGACCCACCTGAGCAGACGACGGCCAACCGCAAAACACGCAGAAATACTATGAACTAAGATGCGATGATTGAAGAGAGTATGTCACAGTTCTATCGATTGTGTTGCAATTGTGGCAGTTAAACGTTTAAGCTATTACTTCCGTTGGAAGCGTTTTTTTTTTTTCAGTATTCATTTCATTTCTGCTTCGAAAACAAATACCGCATTTGAAAACAGTTTGGAATTATGGTATATCTGTAGCTATCCGTCAGTTGAATTTTCTTTCAGTTCAGAAGTCGTGAGAGAGCTTATCGTGTTACAAAAAATTAGAGGTGCAGTTCTGATTAGGTGTATTGTAATATTTACTTTTTCGTGTTTCGTTTCTCATATAATATTTCCTTTTGTATGTGGCATTTTCCTAGATAAAGACATTTTCTCAGTTATACATGTCACAATTTGCTAGCAGGAACGGAGATTAATTAGTTGTTGGTTGGAGTGTAGTCAGATTGATAGTAATTATTCACATTTATCTGTCTAGATAACTAAAGAAACTTCTTAAAAAGTGGTTCATTTCTATTCCGGGATTTATAGTTGATGCGCGACTTCGTTGATACATCTAGATTTTTAGAAGTGTTGTCTTAGAAGAAGAAATAGTTTATGCATCGATTTCAGTTTTTCATTTTTTAGTCGGCATTACAGTTGCATGATTTGAGATTGCATAGTATTCATAGTGTTATAGTGTAAGATGTAGTTTTTGCAGAGTGCAACAGTATGGTTGTTTGGGGTTTATCTAATATCACGGATGCCTTACAAAAACGTTTGTGTCGCTTTCTTATACACAGATATTTAAGCGATTTCCTGAAGTCTAGCATTAATTTGGAACAATTATCAGCTACTCTTTATGGTGGCATTGCATCTGTTAGCGATGTTGACATGGACGTACAGGTATCAATTTTCAAGTTTCGGAGAGATGTTGTTGATTGTCGAAAAAGAAAGACAAAACACACTGCAAAGTATTGCCAAGCATGATTTTTTTATAAGAAAGCATTTAAATCCTTTTCAAATATTGTGAATTCCAGATCTTTATTTAGTTTAACAAATTCCATATTATGTTGGACTGATCGATGTTTAAATGGTGAGCTGAAAATTTTGTTTCTCTAGAAATTAAATGAAGCGTTTGAATCGATGAAAATACCATTTACGGTGGTTGAAGGTTACATTGGCGAAGTCACTATCACAGTTCCATGGCAATATATCCTTGTGAAATCGGTTGATCTGGAGGTGAAGCAGTTACAGCTTACACTTCAGCTTCAACACTGCGCAGAAGAGCTTCCGGGAGATATAGGTCACAGATCACATTTTCGATTTTTTCAGTCTTCAATAAAATTATTATTTGTATTTTATTGAACTTCGAGATAATGATTTACATGTCTTCAGTGGCTTCTATGTTTGGAAGTGTTATGGGATCATTAGCAACATCTATGGAGCTAGCGCAGAGTTTTCTGAATCAAGAGGAAGCTATCAATGAAGCAGAGGACAGAGGCATTGAACAGTTTGCTGAGGTATCTATTTCCTTCATGTAAACTGTATACATTCAGTTCTTGAATTTGCTCTTAACAAAGTGCATGAAATTAGCATGAAATTTAGGTCATTGATGCTGTTATCTCTCGTTTCCGATTAATTTTCAACGATGCTATTATTCGCTTGGAAAGTGTTCCCGATCCAGAGTCTTGGTTATGCACTGCGTTGGAACTGCGAGTCGATTGGTGTAGTATCAAAACATTATTTTCATTTGATGAAAATGAATTTCTAATTCAAATACTTTAAGAATCTCGAGTTTTATTTTTGTTTTGAAACTGTGTTAATTCAGGGGTATTTTTTTATGAAACCAAATTTACACAAAATACAGCCCATTGTACCCCTATATTTTATATAGGATTGAACTCATCGACGAACAATTAGAGTCGGAAGCTTTTAACGCTGGAACGGTAACTTCACAACCACGTTCGTTATCATCTGTTCCAGATTTCAACAAACTTTTTCATGTAAAAGGCATACGTCTTTATACCGATATTTTTACCAAGTGAGTATATAAGTGTGCATTCTTTGTTGCAAAATATGGAAGATGGTTAAAAAACCCGCTTACATATTGCTGGTCATTGTCATTTTTTTCATTTAGACCAGCGATGAAAGATTTATCAGAAGAAAATATGACTGCATCAACACAAGTCATAACAAGTATGTATCTCCGACGTGAAAAGGAAAAAACAATGAAGGTTGGTGGACCTACATTTTGTTTGATGATTTTGTTTTCAATAGCTTCGTGTCCAGCTAACGAAGTGCATAGTTTTCGAAAGTTTTCATCTCAACCTTCAAAGTTTAGAACTTCTAGTTCCAGAAACTGTCAGGTTCTTCGGACTCATCAGATGATCACTGTGAAAAAAGCGACAGTATGTTATATTCCATACAGATGTCGGCTACCTCAACAATTTTTGAATCATGTTATTCCCGTAACAGCTGTATGGAAGACGAATTTCCTTTTGCTACTTCCTCACCGTTAAGTTCTTCCAGTAGTACCACGTATGTTTTGTGCATTTCTTCTCTATCTGATTTTTATTTCTTTTACCTTAAATAAGAAAGAATCAAAGTTGCAGGTTGGAGTCGAATCCAGTTCTGTTTGCATCATTTAGTGGTAGCGTTGAAACTGTTATTGTTCGAGTACGTAACAACGAGATCTCATCGCAGTACTCTTTGTCTTCGGAAAAGGTTTTTCTTGTTTTCTTGTTACTGTCTCAAGTTTGATTTCAATTTATTTTTGCTCTGATAACAGTAGCTCCTTTTCTTTTTTATTCAGGAAATTAGCCTTAACTTTGATGGTTTGTGTGTATTTTTGACGCCTTCGCAACTGAGCATTTTGAAAACATTTTTTGCTGCGATTGCAAAGCCTCCTTCAAACTCTGGTTCGTTTAAGTAATTTCAATTAATCCTCTACTCCCACTTGTTTTCTTCGGTGATTTTTGTATCTTTGAAAGTTTATCTGATTATGTTTTAGATGGTGCACAATGCACTTTAGGAAAACCAATGTGTATACAAGATTATCAGCAGGTTGAAGCAGAGTTGCAAACAAGAATTGTACCATCCAATCAAATCGGTACCGATTTCCAGCACGGTAGATGTTACTATTAGTAATCTTTATTAATTTTCAAGTTGGTACCTGTAAAACGTTGATTTTAAGGATGATAACTGCAGTCTAGTCTGTATAACTTTATTACTTAACAGAAGAATTTGATAGTGTGCTAATCATCACATTTTTTTTTTCTTATAATATAGAAATTCTTGTGGTGTTCAGGCAATTGGGGTGGTTCGATGATGTTTTATGATGCACAGAGAAAACCCTCAGTAGTATCGATTGAAGAACAAATGGCTAATGTTTCGTTAAATCTCAGTGATGTAGGAGATGGTCGAGTTGGTAGATTTCGGAAGGAAATTTTGAGAAGCGACTGTTACCAAAGTTGGTTTTTATCTCAGGAATGTTATAGAATGGTAACAAGAATTAGTGAAATATATCAGTGAAATTTCCAAAAATGTAGCATATCATTTCTCATTGCAGAAACTTCAAAGAAGTCGGATACTGTATCTGACATGATTAGTGTTAAAGCAAGCATTTGCAATGTTGTCTTTGTCCTCACTCACAAAGATTACCTTGGACAAGATGAAGTTCGAAACAGGTTTGCAACTAATTTTTGAGAGCCCCGGGCTAAAATCCGGGTATTTTTTTAACGTGTTTCATTTTGCGTAATGAAAAATTTCGCTGTGGTGAATGCAGTGCGTGTTTAATTATTTCTGATTTTAGAAACGTCGAAAACATCGCTGATATTATCAGTTCATACAAAGAATTAGCAGAGAGGTTCTTTAAGGAAGCATCTTCTCTGCGGTTTGGGGTTCAGTTGGATGAATTAAATCGGAGTACGAAACATCTGTATGCAGACGACCATCTACAGTAATTCCCTTTTAATATTCTTTGTGTTTTTTTTAAAGTCCAATTTTATACATCTTTAGGTTTATTGGTGAAGGAGTCGTGTTTGATTATAATCAAGTAAGAGGTCGGGAAAACTACTCTTTTTCAATGAATTTCGAAGCGCTTGATGTGGAATTATTAGAAATTCTGTCGCCGGCCTCATCGAGCACGGTATTATTTTTTCGACATTTTTGTTCAGAGCCATGTATGCAAATAGAGAAAGTTTTTCAATTTTATTTTCAAGAATGCCGAAGAAAATATCAAGCTATTTTCGTTTTGTGATAATGCAGCAGCAACTGATAAAAACCGTCGATTAATGGTTACTATAGAAAACGGCAAAAATTCGCAGGTTTGCATCATAAAAGGATCTTGATTTCCTACTTTTCAGTTAAATTATTTCGACGAAACTGTGTATAATATATATATATATATATATGTTTTCTCCTAAAATTTAAGATTTATCATACAACAATTTCAGCATTATGATGTGACAGTAAGCATGACAACTTGTAAAAGTGAATTGGATATTTCGATGATTGATCGAATATCTTCCCTTTTGATCACTAAACCTTTTCACACTTATCCATTTCCTTCAACGATTCAAAACGGTACTGACGTATCACGAGGCTTAAAGTAAGTTTTGCATGCTTCTGACACGGTAGGATTTTTTGATAATTCTTTTTATGCTTATTGCAGTTGATTTTTTTCAGAACAGATTTGCTCTTTACCGCTATGCAAGATGTAAACAACACACCTTTATCACTATCATTTATAATTGGTTGTCCAGAATGGGATTTAAATTTGAGGTCTGATTTTTTCATTTAGCTCATGAAATAGTATATAAGAAGTGTAGAAAACTTCTATATTTTTTTTTTTAATTTTGGCTTACTGTCGATGATAGCAGTCTTTATTTTTTAGAATACCAGTAGTAGATTTGAGACATTCTGATTCTTCTCCAACTCGAGTACCCTACTGGAAAAGAAATCTGCATAAGGAGTCAGTGAGATTAACCTTAATGGATGTCAGATTGGAAATACCAAGATTTGATGTATCGCGCTTAAGACAGCATGGGACAGCTATTATTTCGGCTTCTGCTGTGAACGGTATTTTCATCTTTTCATATGAAGAGTTCTTGGTTCTTCAGGAATAAGAAACTGCATTAGGAATTACTGACATCGGACCACTTTAAAGCAAAATTTTATCAAAACTTTTGCAACCTTGAGATTTGGTATAAGTTAACCGCAAATTGATGTAGAGACTATATAAAATATTTTTTTCTTAGTGTTAACGATGAATAATTTTAGGATCCTTCAGTTTGGTTGAAAAAACTGATTCAGCTAGCCTCGACTCTCTCTTTCTTTTTGCTGGTTGTTCAGAGACATGTGGTGGAGGTTGTGTCAGGTATATTAAAAGGATATTTTTTTGCAGAAGTGACTTTTTGTCTCTAAATCTAATTGATAACTTTGCCATTTTCTCTGGTGCTGTTTGTTATCATTAATGTAAAGTGTTGTATTTGTGATCATGAAATTAATTTTTAGTTTGAAACTTAACTACGACAATAGAAATAGTAGTTTGGAGTCAACTTCTACACGTTGCAATGAAACAGGTTACTCATGTGCTTCGCAATATGATGTTGAAAACGAAGCAGACATAAAAATGGAAGGACCATTCTCAAAATGTGTTATACGCAATGAGAACCGAGTGGTTGGCAGTTTCTATTTTCATTACTTTTTTTCGCTGTAATAATGGTAAAATGTTGGTTGCATGATATTTAGATAATTGTGGTTGGAAGCACAAAGGAGATGTTGGAATTTGGAGAAAATTGCCTATCAAATGCACAAATAAATTGTGAATTAACTGTTCCGGTATTGCGAATCCACTTGCCCAGTCGTCAGTATTACGAAGTTATTTATAATAGGTAATATTCAATTAGAACAGTCCATTTTGTTGTAGGATGCAGCATATGATGCAAGGGAAAATACTACGACATTAGCCTGCGGACTTCAAACTTCAAATAAATTGCGAAGACTCCTATTAAAGTCGAACGGAATAAATCATTGGATTTCACTGACATTAATTTTATGTTCAACCGTTTTTTTTTTTTTTTTTTTTTTGAGGGATCTTATGATTTACGAAATTCTCCATTTGTAGTTAATAAAGCTTTTTTTATTAGACTTTTTGGACTGTTGTATAAATTTTGATATATGAAGATTGGTGAACGATTTGTCGATGTGGCAGCCATCTTCTCCTGTCTTGAATAATTCTGATCGGCAGAGAGATGTGGAAACATCGGGTAACGAACTCTTCGAACTCTGCAGATCTTCAAAAAGGAAAAGTAACTTTTTTTGAAAATCTGTTTATAGTCTTTCTCCAGTTTTATTTTTTGCTGTGTTTGAGTAAGGAAAATTTTATTAACATTCAATTTCGTTTTCTGAATGAATTGCTTAATTTCCTAAGTTTTAGTCCATATTTTTTCAAGAGCCTCAAAAATTTTTGAAATTATAGATTCTGCACATAGTGAGTGTAATGTTTCGTGTTCTCATGGTTCAAGTCCAACAGTAAATGCATTAGGCAATGAAAAATCTCATAACTTTTGCCTGTTGGCAAATGTAAATGATGGGCGAGTGCTCATAGGAACTGAATTTGAAGTTTGTTTTTTTTTTTTTTTTGTAATGGTATTTAACGGTAATATGTCTCTTCTAACTTTGCTACTTTTACTTTTTTTTGAACTTCAGGATGGAGCTGTTAAGAAACTGGGTCAAGTTGGTGCAATTCTACACAAAACGCAAATAATGGCAGTTAACGGTTTCCATGGCAATAGAGAGCTATCTTATTTTTATTCAACTTCCAAAATTGCTAATTTTTTTCATAAAAGTTAGTATAAATTACGCTGTTCGATCACGAAATATTTTGCTGCGATTTCCAGTGATCTTTATATAAGCATATCTAGTACGAGTGCTATTTTCAGATCTTATTGGTGATGTAGTTCCATATGAACAGTATGTTTTGAAAAAAGATTTCGCTCACCATTTTAAAGAAGGAATGCAAGCAGAACCGATAGTGGATGAAGAGATTTGTTTTCTGGAGGAGGAAGAGGATAATTTTGCCATCGCAATTAGAATTGATTTTCACTTTGACGAAAATCTGAAGGTTCTTATTATGTTATAGATTCTTTTAACCATTTATAGATTTTTCTGAAGAGCACTCATAAGTAGATTCATCAATTCATCTTTGAATCAGAAAGTTGAACATGTGTTTTCTATTTCATTTCAGGATTTTTTTCTTGCCAGGAATATTCTCGACTTCACATTTTTTAATTATATTTTTTGTTTTTAATACTATTATTTCCTATGTCAGAAGTAACCATCCCAAAACATTCCAGAATGTGCTAGTCGGAGTTGGTATTCGTAATACTTTGTTACATTTGAAACCATATACGAATGCTGAGCAGTTTTGGATTAATCAGTTGATCAATTTCTTTGATATCGTCGATTACGGTATTCCTGGTTACGAAGTCCCACAAACAACGACAGAACTACATATGCACTTCGCGTCCTCTCTGTTGGCTTACCAACATCATTTTGAGAATCCATCACCTCCTTTATCACTACGGTTAGTAGTAAACCTATATATATAGGTCAGTATTTGGCGCACAAGTTTATAATTTTCTGGGACGACATCAAAGCCTTTTACTGATTGTAATGCTGCACCCTTTAAGCAGGAAATTAAATTCATTTTTTGGATTTGTGGGATGTCCTGGGAATGCACAGCCACATTGAACCCATTTCAAAACTCCCTCCATTATCGCTGTTCTCCATCGAAAGTGATATATGTATATCAATTAACTTGCCTAATTCATTAAAACACATACGTAATAAGGCACATGTATTTTTAGAGAGTTAAATAAATCAGTTCATACTACATGTAGCAGCCTGAAATTTAGCTTTTATTTTATTGCTTTTATTGTAGAGTGATGCTTGGTTCTTGTGACGTCAGTAGTCGAATCATGCAGGATCTAGAAATATACAAATTTGAATGCATATTTGAGCAGCTCAAGCTCTTCGCATCATTCAATCCGGATGCTACAGGGAGTCAAAATGAAACAAAGAAGTCTATAAATTTTGAGCCCAAATTCATACATATGCTGTCTGTCGGTATGTTGCAACTAGAGGTATGTTTTATATTGAGGTATCTGGCAAGTTGGTAAAGCTGTTAAAACGCTTTGGAATTCCCTTTCTTAGAAAATATATATCTCAAAACATTCAATTCAATATCAGTAACTTGTACCTTTTATATCAGTAACTTGTACCTTTTATATGGTGTGTAGTTTCGGCAGGAACGGATACAAATTGCTTTTAGTATATTGTTGTTTTTTTTTTTATCCATTCGGACAAAATATGCTCCTTGGGAAATTTTGTTCATATTGTAAGCTTATGTAACTTCCAGGTGATGGCAGCTAAAAGCTCCAGTACTACTGGTGGCAGGCCAAAGAAATATCTTCCATTTTTAGAAGTTAGATGCAAAAATGATTTATTAAAGGTTTTGAATTCTAAAGTTCAACAGTTCTTTAATAAAATTTCAGCTGTTTTGAACTGATTATTTTCGGCATATCGTCGTTATAATCAAAATAATTATAAAAATTGTAGTTATGGGCTTGTTCGGATTCCCTATGTTTGGTCATCAATGCGGTTGCTGAACTGTTAGATGCACACACTTCAAAAGTAGCTGCACCCAGAGCTGGACTGCAAACACCAATCGATAAACTAACGATCCGGAATTCTAGAAGACAGGCATCAACCGAACAGCAATTAGCTAACATTGAAGTAAGTTCTGTGGGGAAGTTTTTTTATATTGTATATCCCATGATATTCTAAATAAATGAAAATTCGCGAACTTTACTGGAAAAGTAAAAACTTATAAGGAGTAAAAACTGTATTCTACCGCCATCCTCCGGTTGATCTTTTATGATATAAAAGTTCTTATCATTCTTTTCTGATAGGAACTTAGAAGATGAACATAAACAGGATACATTTATAAAAACACGTTACTTCTATTTTGCATTGTCAGTTTTTCACTGCAACTTTGGTTTTACTCGACCACTTTTCAAGCCCCCAATTTTGTTGATAAGCTAAGTATCTGTTTTGTGAAAAACAAAAAATTACTACAAAAAAAAAAAAAAAAAAAAAATACTAAAAAATCACTACTTCAATATTCTCTTCATTTTTATTATTATTATTTTTTTTTACTTGTAAGGATGCTGAAGACTTTCAGTGCAACCGTCCATTCAATTTGCCGGATATATTTTATCACTGGTTTCTATTCGTTACCTTCATTCATATCATTTTATAATAAACTTGTCTTAATTATGACATTTAAGAAAATCTTGTTTCGTTGTGATTCTGATACGGCAGCTTAACGTTATTCCTTCTAATAATAAACATTCTTCCGCTTTCTTTGATAAGAGCTTAATGTTTTTGCTTTTATTATAGCAATAAGGAGATGGATGTTGCTCTAAAATTAAATTTCTTATTTAGTCAGATCTTTTGTTAAGGTAGTCATGCTGTAAAACCTTTGGTTATCGTTAACACTTTGTTTTTCATTTCTAATTTGATCGACAAAATGCCTATAGGATTTTGCTGATGCGACAAAATTTTATTCTAAGTTTCGTTTGCAAGTGACATTGATATCGTACCCTCATACAGAGATCACTTGAAGGTTATCAGAGCAAAGTCTAACTTTCGTTCCTTCTGTTTTCATTCATCTCGCTGTGATGAATAAATTAAGTTCTAGGAAGATGAAATATTACAGGTAGAGGTCTTGTACGAAAATTTTGAGGATTTATTTTTTCAACAAGTAAGCAAGAGAAGCAGTAGGATCACAAAAAGGGAAATCGCAAAGATGTGATGATAAAAGAGTAAGAAAAAGCGGAAGGAGTACTGTTCTGCATAATGCAAGAGATTACCCAGCAAATTTTTCAGCAAAACCTTTTTCCAGAAAATTACATTCAACATCCGAAATTAAGATTCCCAAGTTCGTGGACATTTATTTTTCATTTACAGTCATTTGAAAAATTTCATTATAATTATTTAATGCATTTTAAAATTTAGAAAATGGTGCGATCAGCGGTGTCGCAATCTGGACACGAAATTTTTATGCACCCGATGAATTCACCTGAAAATTTGACAGATACTTCTCAAGTGCTGTCGGATGCAGTAATAGGTAACTTTTGTCTAATAATTATTCTTTAAATCAATTTCTTTAAATCATCTCTTTAAAATAACTCAGTACATGTCTTTCTGCCAATTTAGTTCTTTACTAGAACATTTATTGAATCTTGGTTTATTATTTACAATATACCACAGATTTAATTGATACGACAGGGGAAAGCATGCCTAGAGATTCATCCGGAGTACTCAGAATTGATGAAGACTTCTGTCTACTTGATGAAATTCCGGGTAGTGGAATCACGGTATTTTTTTGTTTTTTTTTTTTTTTTTTAACTTCGTGAAGTGTAATAGGTACTTTTCATATTTATTTTTGGAATTAGATTATTGTTTCTTCTCATTAATCACACAGGGTTTTAGACTGGTAATAGCAAGCCATGGGCACGATTTCTTCTCCCTGACGATGCAGCTGCTGTAGCTTATGATGATTATTTGACAAAAATCGGTGGTAGATCGAACAAATCAGTTGTTTTCGCAATGAACAAGATTCATACCCCGTTTATTAAATATTCTATTGATGATGTATCGCTGGAACTCCATTTGTACGGTGGTGCTGATTTCAGTAAGTTCTTATTGATAAAAATCTTGAAGAGATCAGTTAACATTTTGTAAGCTGTATGCATTGCATCAGTTACAATTGTTACTGTTTGCACATTTCAGGCACTTCAAAACCGTCTCCTAAACCTTACTGCATGTCAAATGGAGGAAGGTTACGTCGTGACAACTCTCCAGTTGGTGGTCCTTATAGAGATTACTCTGCTCATGTAGATTTGCGTTTTTCTAGGGCAAGTTTTGTTTATTCGTTCGCACTGTTGCATTAAAATGATTTTCTGACCGAAATGAGAAAGATTAATATATAGATGTGATTGATTAATTTCGCTTGTTATATGTAAAATTGTGTCATATTAGGTTAAATTTATGTTCGAAGTATACGATAAAGATGCACCGGTGTTGTCTACAAGGCTGTTTAATATTGGATCAGTTGAAATTTTGGATAAAATGGTATCTTCAAAAATAAATAAACTGCTTTACCCGGTAAGCTGCGAAGATTAATCATTTTTTAGGGAGGGCTACACTAAATGATCATGCTATACTTTTATTACTTTTTGTTATTTTTTCTATCATTTATTGTTCATAGCTATGTCCATTTATTTGCAGCATGTATGGGATCAGACATTTCCACGTCATTCTCAATCGCCGATGTTTTCAGTTCGCTTATATGAAACTCCTCAACATGAGGGTAAAATGAAGGTTTCCTTGTTGCCTTTACGTATTAATGCCGATCAAGATACTCTGGAGTTTCTCGAAGATTATGTGAATGATCTCTCTGGTAGCGTTGCTGTCTTACAAGCAGGTTTGGTCCTCCTTCCCGAAATTTTCGTATATTATGTACATTTTGGACAGATTTTTTTCTTTTTAATTTAGAAGATATCGTAACATCGAAGATGCCAGAAAAGCCATGGTTGGAAGTGCGTTTGGATGGAAATAATGATATTATGCAGTGCGCCGGAGATACAGATTCAGATACAGCAATAAAATGTATGGAAATGACTCTTCAAAGTAATGCATTTTTGAAGGAATTTGTTGGACACCAGATGGAGACTTGTAACAGCGACGGGACTCACAACTGGCATATGATTTACTTAATTCGCATATTCATCAGTATTTTATAGTAATTGCATTGGACTAGGTGTTAATCTTTGGAATCATACTGAAGCTCAGATTTAACTGGATGAAAATTTAATAGTTTTAGGTGATGATTTTTATGTGGATGAAAGCGAAAACGATAGTTTAATGCTCAATGAACGGCTATATTTCACAAGTGATTTGTTTAACGAAAGTGGTAACTTGGATCCAACTAATTCTTAATAATTTGTGTCAGACACCAGTGCTGCATCATTTTTTTTTCACAAATTTTATTCTACTGATAATTTTAGGGTCCGTAACAGACGATGTCACAAATTTGTTCGGTTGTATGAGTTCTTCTTTGCAATCGTTATCGAATGCTAGGACTCAACGCTTCAATACAGCAAATACTGATAGCAGCATTCGTACTGTTTTGCCTACTGCATATAAAGAGGCAAGAAATGTAAGATTAAAGTTTGAAGTAGCGAAAGAAGAAAAGAAGGACAACGAAAAATCTGTCCCTGTACTGATATTTGTTGTTCGCGCAAAAATTTAATTTTTATTATATGCGAATGTCATGCTTATTTCTTTTGATAGGAACGAGGATTTCGAAAAACTTCGACAAATCATTTTTTTTTAGAGTTCAGATAGTTACTTTTTCCATGTAGCTTTCATGCTTACCTGTTTTTAGAGATTCCATGCAATTATTTCCCCTACAATTACGACTTACTTTATGCAATGAAATTGAATGAATGGACCAGTCCGTTATCCTTCTGGAATCATTTATATTGTTTAAGGTCGATTATGAGCGCGGTAAAAATTCTTTGGAGATAGGTCCTTGGGGAGCAGAATCGATCGTTAAAGGAAAGATCTACTTCAAGTAAGTAATACTGATTCTAAGGAATTTTCAAGTTAGCCGTTTTGCGGGTCGTTGCTGTGTTTTCACATAGTACTTTGTTGACGCTAACTGTATCTCTCAGTTATTACAGGGAGTTTACTTTTTCACCATCTGCGGTGATTCGTTTGGATTTAAACGGAAAGCGAATTCGTCCAGATCAGGGTTGGATTTTAGGGCTTTTGGTAGGGTTGAGCGATTTTAAATGCACTGAAATACGTTTGAAGGAACTCAGTTGTACCCGGGGACTGCTTGGTTATGATCGATGTTTTAAAGTAAGTCATATTGGCGCTTTTTAATGCATTGTTCAGATATTTCAGTACTTTTAAATTATAATTCAAGGGTCGTTTATTTAACTGATTTCTCTATGTCACATATATTTGTTTCAAAATTTTAGTTCGCTGTTAATGCCTGGCTTAACGATATTAACAACAAACAATTAGTACAGTTTATTACGTCTTATGGGCCTATCAAATCAGTAGTAGAAATTGGTGAGCGAATTTTGACATATTATACCAAACGCTGTGTCTTTTAAAAACTGGAATTTATCAAGTTTTCCTCAGTTTTCATTTTTACAGGATTTAGTTGTAGATTTAATTCTTTACAGTGCTGTGAGTGTATGAGTTGTTAAGCCCTTAGTTGCAATTTCAGGTTTTGGGATTCGAGATCTATTTTTGATGCCAGTAAACGAGTATTGTAGGGAAGAAGGTCATATCATAAAAGGATTACAAAGAGGGGCGGAAAGTTTTGGAATATCTACCGCAACAGCTGCAGTAGATATGTTACAAAGAATGGTTGGAGTTGTACAGGTAGGGATTTTCTAGTGGTCATATTTGTTCTACATAAAAGCGTAATTTATACCAAGTACAAAAATTTGATGTTGCAGAGCGTAGCGGAGTTAGCATTTGATATTGTTTCACCGGAATATCCCATATATCGGCACCGAAGGAATATGATAGATTACACGGCGCTTCGATCGCCAAACGATATCAGAGAAGGCTTTAATATGGCTCTGGAAGCTATTGGGCGTGTAAGGGAATAAATTATTTTCAAGATGTTTCGAGTATTTTTTTTTCTTGATATTACAAATGATTATAGGAAATAAGTGATACGGCGTTAGATTTCCAATTAGCTGCATTAGAAGATCAGACAAGTGGTTATTCCACAGTGCGCGGTTTTCTTCGACAAGCTCCAACTACGGTATTACGGCCTATAATTGCCGTAAGTAAAGCTACCGTCAACATTCTTGGTGGAGTGCGGAATCAAATGAAACCAGGCAGTCACAGGTAGGGTTTTTAGACAAACAATTCATGTTAGGAACAGGGGAAATTTTCGGTTCGTGAAAAATTTTTGAAGACCTTTTGGACTTGGATTTCCTTTTTCTTGTAGGGAAGAAATGGAAAAATGGAAATGAAGCAGTTAGTTCTATGGAATACTGATATCTTCGCACTGACTATGTCATCCAAACTGTTAAATTTGTTGGCTGAATTGCTGTAAATAGTCTCTGGTTTTTCTGCCGGAAGCAGTTTTGTACATATTTCTTAGGAGTCTTTTTTAAATGAGGGACTAGTACCGGTAGATGTACTTTTTTAGTCGTGGACTAAACGAGATCCCCAAGGTTTGAATCTCATTACTTCGTTCTGGGATTCATATTGGTGTTCACTTATTAGTGCAGTACAATGTGAAAGTGGTACTGATAGCACCCAACTTGTATTCATCATTTTTAGCACTACTACATCTACTTTTACATTTATTTTTTATTTCTGTATCATATGTTTATAAAATCTTTTTTATGAACTACTAACTTCCAAATTTGTGCTTGCATAGCCATAGCTATACTCATCATGAGCTACTTAGCATTCATCTGTCAAGTGACGGAAGCCTGAACATGGGCAGTCTCTAGGGAAGTGTTTATTGTAGTTAACAGTCCAATAAAAATACATTCTGAAATTTAGTGTTTGCATTTTATAATATCAAAAAACGGAGGTTTTACGGTTTGCGAAATATTATGAGATGAAGACCTGTCGTGGAAACTAACCTTTCCATTATATCAAGGCAACAATGGTCAAGTGCTGGTACTTGGTAAAATCTATAATTGGGAGAGGCCATCCAGTAAGCAACGGTTAAATGGGAAGAAGCATGAATATAGTTGTTTTATATTTTAATTGATTGCTTAATTCTATACCTACTACTAATTTGCGAAAGAAGACTCTACACATGCAAAATTGCTACATGGAGTAGGAAAAAGTGTATGTCAAGAGCTCCCCGCAGTGATTTCTTTCTTATACATAACGGTAGAAAGCATATGCAGTGTGTCTTGTATAACAACCTTAGCATTAACCGTAACGAGCCCATCGAGAATAGGTGTAGAATTATTATCTACATGGGTGGTCAGCATTAATAAGTAACAAATATGCAAGTAGTGTTCGGGAGTACTCAATCGCTTAAGCCTGTAATTACACTGGAAAATTGAGTCATCCAAACAAATTACCACACAACTGTGATGATAAGCTTTGCTTTAAGCATTTCTCTAAATACAGCTAATCATACTTTTTCTAAGAATAGAAGTGACCATTACAAATCAATGTAAGTACAAATAACTACGGGATATATGTCGCCTAGAACGTTCAAAGCCGAGACTTGTAAAGACACACTCATACAGCTTCTTCCTTAGAATCTCTATAAACACTCAGGCCCTAAATTCAAGGACGAAGTCAATAAGGTAAAATGTCAATTAGATGGATAAAAACATGACAGAGGAATGAGACTAGTGGTCTCATTTAAAAGGGTGGAGGAAAAAAAGGATAACGAAATTGTTGATTAGTGTTCATCCCAATAAATTAACAGAATGTAACATACATAGCGCGCATTTTAGAAACCGCCAATTTTAGAACTCCATTACTTTAGATTTTAAATTTTCAGGACAGATATGCTTCACAATCGAAATCCAGCAACTGTATTAGAATTTGTATAATTTAATAACGAACAAGACTTAAAAAAAAAAAAAAAAAAAAAAGCAAAAGTAAAGAAGGAGGAAAAGATATCAAGGGAAACATTGGAATAAAATAGATTATTTCAAAATAGATTATCCAATTTCTAAACGGAAGTACAACACTGTTAAGAATAATAAAGTCTTGCAAAGAAAACCAACAGCAGACGATGGAGATTTACAAATGAAACCATACTGATGGTCCAGTTACACTGATGAAGGCATGGCTGAAGAGAATTCTTCCGGATTTCATCCATTCGGAAAAAGTAGCAACACTATCGCTATTATGACTACATTTGCGCTACATTTGATAAGGAAATGTTCCCAAAAATAGTGAAAGAGAGACAAAGAAGATAACTTTAACTTCTATATTTCAATTTCCCTTATGAACTTTTATGACACAGAGAAACAGACCAAGATCAAAGGTGGAAGTTGCTTACAGTTTGTAATAAGAGCGTGACAAAAAAGCCAGAACAAGATAGCAGCAAAACATAGTATGTGCCAGAATTCTATTTAAAACAATGAAACTGTAATTTCTTATTAAAAATCTCAATTTCTTGCTTAATGCTTTGTTTTTCCCCATCCAGTCTTTCGTTGGAAGAAACCAAATACATGAATTAGGATATCAGAAAAGAAACAAAACACATTCTTCCAGAAACAAATTCAGAATAGCCACTTTAAGAAACATGCGAGTTTTTTTTTCTTTTTCAGGAGCATCGTTAGTTAACAAATCCTATCGGAAAGTGAGCAAAATAATTTCGTTGTGTTTAGTATAAGGCTTCTAAATCTTGAGCGAACGGTGAAACCTAAGTTAGTTTACACTAACTTTAGACTTGGTGAATAAGTTAGCACAGAGCAAATTCAGGACCAATCATTCAAGTTTCTGCGCCGATACTACAAACCTCGTGTCCTAACTGATCATCCAATTACAATAGAAACATAAAATAGTTAAATGGGAGGTGATGGCGGGGGTACTGATGAATAATTTCCTGCCCCTTTTGGTATGGTTGTTGACGCTGCATTTCCCGATGCAACTGTTGCAGTAGAACAACAAACTACACCACTAGTTCCAAATGCTGTCGTACTACGACAATCGCCAGCTACTAACTGTTCAAATGAATGTTCCAACAATTGGCGAGCAGAAAAATCCTATAAATATATCAACTGATTTGAAACAGCGAGATCTTTCGAGCTAATGTGACAGCTGGAAAATACCGCAGGAATGTACCGCACTAACCTGTGGTGGTATTTGCAGGGACAACGCCAGGCTCTGAGCATCGAATGTATGATCCAGTGCGATAAGGGCACCATGCACGCCACTATCTTTCAACTGAGTCGCATATGCCCCAAGACCGATTTCCTCAACCCAACGTGCCACTCGATCATTACTCCATACCAGTACATCTTTAATATCTCACCATAAAATGTTGTCCATTTTGTAATTTTAAGTCCATGAGTGCTGCATTTATTCCGATCAACAATTTTCTGCAGTGTAATATGGCTATTGTATGTTAACTTAATTATAGCCAGAAAAAGCTTTTAGCTGATCATCGTAGTGATATCGCAAACAGTTATGCATATCTATCTACCATTCATGGACTTAAAATTACAAAATGGACATTTATGGTGAGTTGATTGGCGCGAATTGCTATCCTATACATTTAAAGCACTATTTTAATACTATGAAGAAAGATAACTAAATCGACTAACCTTTACTAATATTCTCACAAGCTTTTCGCCTTTCTATTAACGCTTTCTTATCATAATTCAGCTTCTTCAAACAAATTATACCATACTGCAAACTGGCACTGCAAGAAAACAAGTAAACGTATAGCTCGCATTAAAACATGAAATTCCAGTATGTAGAAAAAAATTAAACCTACCGGTGAAAACTATCGAGCATTTTGAGATGCGTTCTAAGGTCACGTTTGGACAGATGCTCCAGCATCCGAGCATCCAATAAACACTCCATAAATGCTGGCCGATATTGCGCCAGACCTGAAAGAAGCAAAGATTATTTCAACTTACTGTTGCTGGTATTCTGAATTTATAATACAGCAGGCATAAGTTGCACCTAATGAGGGCAGCCATTCATTACCAACCCATTCGTGATTCATTTCACCAAATGCCAGCGTTGCGCGTGTTGTACGCGGTGCCGACGGAGAAGTCAACGAAACCATTTCCTGTTATATAAAAAAAGATGAATGAATGCTGAAAGGAAGCAGTAAAATAAGATGCTACAACGCACTACATAGTTCATTCCCAATGTCAACATAATCTACAGCCTTTATTCATATGATAGTTTTTAATTACCTGTATAGCTAATCGTAATTTCAGCCTATGCAATGGATTTGAGATGCCTATTTCACGCTGTATTTCTTGATCTGACAATGCACTCATGATTGCACCACTTTTCACGTTCGCACGACATGCCGCTACATACCTGAAAATAAAACTCTGAACATATTTTTCAGTACTTTTGAAGAATGACAGTAGGTTAATTTGCAAAAAATTATAAAACATGACATACCAAGCAGGCATGCCAACCCATAATTCCAACCAGGCTACTACCGTTGGTCCATTCCACAGAGCAAAAGGAGTACGCGCTTTCATCGCCTGCAATAGATACGATATTAAAAAGTAGTTCAAAGCATTTCTGCGGTATTAGATATGTTTATAAGTGCGGAAATTTATAACATGCTAACATATAACTGTACCAACAATAAGTAACGAGTACCTCCTCCAGCAATTCGTACTTTTTCTTTTTTCTTCTATCAAAATCAGCAGCTGTAGCAGCACCAAGTGCCACTCCACCGTTCGCTGATTTACCTGCAATCATTTTAATTCGGCTGAAAAATGTATTTAACATATGACTCATCTTAATGAAACGTTTGACATCTCCTTCTCAAGAATAAACCAAAAATACGTAAATAAGAAATAGAAAATTGTTATGATGAATAGAAATTGTTATATAGTGCTTTGAAATTCGAATCTAGTAACTACTTGCAGACTGAATCTTAATTATCGTCAGATTTTAAGCGCAAAAGAAGCAAATATTTCGAGAAAAAACTGGATTCAAGAAAAAAAAAACATAGTTATTCGCTTGAGAAAATTGAAAATATTTAAACTGCTACCCGTTAATAGGGAAGACGATGTCGCTGCACTCGTAGTGACAGTAATGCCTTCTACTGATGACATTTCACTATCCGAATATCCTAAGTATAACACAAATCAGCTAATAACAGAACAGATGTTAAACAGTTTAGAAACAGTCGTTTACGACATGCAACAAGCTTGTCATTTTTTTTTTTTTTTTGAAGCTCAAAATTAACAAATGAATACCTTGCTCGTATTGTGCCAACTGACGTAAATTGCTACCACAGCTGCTACTTTTTGCTTTTTTATTAAATAATCGCCCCAGAGTTTTTGCTGCAGTCGAAGAGGTTGAGCGTTGCTTCTTCGCTCCTATATTTTTAACTCCTCTTAACCAAACATCAACAGGTTCTCCTAGAGAACCAGAAGAGGATGTGTTGCCTAGTGACTAAGATTTTCGGAGCACTTAAAACCAGAAAACTTTGAAGTATACCTTTTGCAGTGCTCGGTGTCCCATAAACGGGTGAGTGGTCATGTTGTGAAGAAGTAATGGATGATGTAGGTGACAACCGATCCATCAATATTCCTGGAGGAACTGGGCCTAAATTCGGATTGTACTCATCATCGAGAAGAGAACCCTGAAAATTTTAAAAAGTTATGACAACCAGCGAAAAAATATCTAGCTTGAAAATTTAAGTTGCGAACAAACGTAAAACTCATTTTTAAAAAAAATAAAAAGCAGCAGATGCATACTGTGTAGGAATGCTGCATTTGATCCGCAGAACTTGGATATCTCCTGCTGCGCAATCCATAATCAAAAGTTGCAATACCGTTAGGCATTTCATCCACTGCACCAAACTGCAGATTGTGAAATACAACAGTGTGATAAGAAACTAATTATGACGCAAGTTTATTTCACTTTTTTTTTCTGCTGTTTCATAAAAGACCCTACAACAAGAACATACAAGAACATAGGAATTTAGAGGACATCATGTTTACCTGATGACCGTACGAAGAATCCACCGGTCCAGCGCTGCTACTGCCATGAATGTGTGATGTTGATGCATTAGCGGGAAGCTATAGCAGCAAGCAATGACAAAATAAAATGTAATGCATATAAACATATAACCCGATTCAAACCAGAATGTTATAAAGTCAAGAAACAAAAAATATGAAACGTACACATTAAAAATGTAAAAAAAGAAAAAGGAAATAGGTAAGAGATAAAGAAGGCACCGTATTGTATTTGGTAATCAAAAAATCGTGCTGTGGTGAGTTGCGTGGTGTAGAATGTGTTGATAATGCTTGTGATTCTTCGTTTGCTGTAAATATATAAAATGCATTATGGTGAATTTCACTATTTAATAACATAAATAGGCGAGAACAAACACAACAAATTACCTGCAGCAGCTGCAGCAGCCACTGCTGTAGCTCGATTTTCTAACTGTTCTGCGATACGTTCGGCGTGCGTTTTCTCTTGTTCTATTAATCGAATTTCTGAATTTATAGCATTCAATCTGCAACATTATTATTTTCATCACTTTGGTATATCACCATATGCAAACTCTTATCACAATCAAATAACGGATGATTAGAAGTACCACACGCGAGGCGGGAAAAACTGCTTGAGATAGCAAACCTTTCCTGCAACATATTAGCAAGCGTATGTGGATCTGCAGCACCTGACATTGTTGCAGTGTTTGGGACTGGTGGACAAGCAGTTGATCCACCACCTCCAGTCATATCCATCATTGATGATGATGATGAAAAAGCCTGAAAAGTAATTTTGTATCTTTTATTTCGATTCTCAGTTCTTCACAACCAATCCAAATCGCACTGCTAAACAGCTTAGTTTGGACAAGAAGTATTCACCAAACCTAAAAACTGAAAACCCTGAAATTTGAATAATTCAAAATTGTTTGTTATATTATATGAATATTTAAAAAAAGAGCTCAAGTTACTGTCTGAAAGATTGTGAAAATCTTTACAACAGAATTGCTATTTTGGTCAAAGTTATTACGTGCTGCACATTAGCAAGCACATGTGCTTGCTGCAGTCGATCCCATTCTTGCTCATTCAGTGTTTGTACTTTGCTTGGATCTTCTTGTAATGCTTGCATTCTACCCTTTTGTACACGACGCATTCCACCATAAACTGAAGTACCAGTGGATGCTGTAACAGCCTAGAAAGAATCTTTATAATAGCAAAAGAAATTATAAAATTATATTTCACTCTAGTTTAGTAGAAATTATGGATTAAAAGGATCCCAACATTGAAAATGATCTTCAGTGAAAAATATATAAACAACGATACCACAACAGGAGGTGGTGGCGGTCCTCCAGGTCCTGAAGGAGATTGTACAGGCACAGGTGGCGCTGCTACAGGCAAAATCATTGGTGAACTATGCAATCTGTAACTTTTAATGACATTAACTCATAAAAAATATCCAAATAGCATTATGTTAACATTAAGAAAAGTTTCAACAGTTCTGTTGCATATGTGCAATTTTTTAACCGTTTTCTAAGGTCTACAAGAAACCTCGAGTGAATCATAAATTTTCTGTTAGAAATGAAAACTAAGTTCAATAAAGACTGACAAGCAGGCAAGTGAGGAAATGAATATGTCATACGGATTTGTGGTTATTGAAAAAAAAAAAAAATGAAAATTGTTGCATCTCATGTTAAAGTTGTATAACGAAAAAAAAAAGAGAAACAGAAAAACAGACCAATTAGTTCAGATGAACAAGTTAACAGCATACTGCATGATTATAATTCCAGTCTTTTCCTTTTTGTTAGTTGATAAAACTTTTTCCTACTCTTGAAAATATAAGATGCTGGATAAAAAACAAAACTTCATGTGTCGAAATATGGATGACATCTGATACCAGATATTGAAGATTTCATGCCGAGATATTAAAATCTCAATAACTCCGAAATTATCATACCTGAAATGATACTGAGCAGTACGAGCGTTATAAAGTTGATTACGTAATGCTTCAATTTCTTGCCGCAAACTTTCATTATCACATTGCAGACGTTCTTTTGTCCGCTCACACTGAAAATAAAACGAAATTAAGAACTGCACGGAATGATAATAACTAGTCTTCCAAAAAAGCTATCGATAAATCAAACGAAACTTAGAAAGCATTATTTATCTTACCGCTTCACTACAATCTCCATTTTTATACAAGAGCAAATGAATCCAAACCCTTGTAAAATTTAAAATTTATGAAACGATAATTGGCATTAACTTAATGTGAAAACAATCTGTGTAAAGATGGTAGCGAAGCATAAACACTTCACAAATTCACTAAGAAGTGGTATAAAAAGAATTATTGCACCTACTTGGTCATAAATTTTCTTTGTTTGTTCCAACTGTTGAGTTAAACGATTCTTTTCATCAAGGGCCTGCATACGCTCCTTTAGGTGTAACTGTAACCTATAAGATCTCTCTCTTATTTGAAACACTCGGTAGTAATGACAGTGCCCTATGTTCTAAATTAAAAATCAATCAAAATTTGTGAAAAATGAAGGTTGTAAATCAAAAAAGACACCATGAATACTCACAACTTGTAATTAATTACATTATGTGAATTAAGGGTTCCCCTTTTCTTATTTCTATCTCATGCATAAATTCATGCATACGCAAGATCATCTATAATAAATGATTTAAAAACGACAAAGAAATCTCACCTGTCGTTCGATTCACTCAACAATTTGTCAACTGTAGATGATAAACGCTGGTTATGTTCTTCATTCATTTTCTCTCTTTGCACAGCACGCTCCAGTTCTGCACTGCGTTCCTCAACTTGTCGAGCCAACCGATTCATCTGCTCCTCAGCACTGAGCTGCTTCTGAGGAAAACTATTCAACAGTCACGAAAAGTATAATGAATAAGAGCTGCAAATCCCACTCCAAAATGCCTTGAATCTCAGTATTCCATGATACATGAATTTCGATATGAATAAAAACAAAAACGAAACCAAACACTTGAAAGTTCACAAAAGTAGTTATACATAAACATTATTTTATATTAAAATATTTTTGACTATTTTCCTGAATATGAGCCAATCTACACCTGTTCTGCAGCAGTAAGAGCTTCCATACGTTGCTGCAATTCTGCTTCTACGCTTGGTAAGGATTCTGCCTTTTTCAAACTTTGAGCTAACTGTTTTTCTGCCAATTCAAGGCGTTCTTGCAAACTACGTACTTTCTCTTCGTTCAATCTAACCGCAGCATCTTTATTAGCAAGCTGAAAGAAAACAGTATATCGAAGAACCAAGTGTGATTAGATAAAAATTCTCTAAGTAAAGCTTTGCACGACAGTACCGGTCCATTTTCAAATCAAGTACGCTAGCTTTAATTCAAGAAATGACGACTTCGACTAGTAATAATGTTCACATTGATTCATTTAGCTATTCAAACTGCTTCTAAATAGTAGATTTAACCGAGCTTAATCTGAAAGATGTAGAATTGCGGAGACATACTTGCGACCGGACTTCCAGCTAATTTAAGACTAAAGATGAAAGAGATGGGTACAACAAAATCAGGTTATCACTTACTGACCCGATGTTCCAGTTTATCATTCAAATCACGTAAACATGTGGCTTCCCGCTGTGCACCCATGTAACGACTTTCCAGAGTTGAAATCCGCGCCTCCTGATCTTCACGTTGCGCTTCCAACTAAAATGAATAAAGAGAATGCTAAAACCCAGTTAAAACGTTCTTTTCGAGTAAGCGTAAATTTAAACAAGAGATTTAACTGTCCGCCAATAATCATTAGAAGTAATGAGTAAGCATATGCCCACCTCTTGAAGATGATCCTGCAACTTATTGACTTGCTCCTGCTCCATTCGACCTTCTTTTTGTGTTGCAGTAAGTTGAACTTCTAATTCTGTGTTCCTACAATTACAGACCGCATTAAACTGTATCTCTCAAAAGTTTAAAGTGAGTATTCAAACAACTGTTGCATTGAAAACATAATTATGAAAACGCCGATCGAAAAAACATTAACTTTTTACATGTATTCAACCACGGAAATAGAAGCAAACAAGCAGATGTGATTGCTATACCGATTATTTAGTTCTTGACATTGCTGCATACTGCTCGCTAATTCTTGTTTCAACCGCTGGCATACTTCTTGTAATTCAACCAAAGCTCCTGCAGATTCAACTGTTCCCTACAAAATAAAAGCTTGTTTCATTAAATACATATGAAGCAACCAGAAGTTGCAAATACCAATCAGTGAAAACAATGATGACCGCTTCCATTACTTCTCAAATTCCGAAAGATGCTCTACAAAGTCCAAAATTACTTCTTCATTATTTGTTCAAATGATCAAAAAACTCACAAATTGCTGTTGCTGCTGTTTTTCTGCTGTTATACCATTTTGAGATGCGTTTAGCTAAAACATAGTACTTAATAGAATTCCTCGTTAAAAAGTATAAGATTCATAAGAAGCTAATATGCAGGACTTCAAAGGATTTCATAATTTAAACGTCTGAGAAATCTCGGCACATCACCTATTTCTGAGGGACAAGAAGCTAACAGTTTAAATATATGCTTAATATAAATAACCTCAGCTCTGCTTTTGAAAAAGTCGAGTGACAAACCTGCTGATGTGCTTCTTCAACTTCAGCTACTACCTTCGCTAATTTCGCTTTTAGCGACGAATTTTCATCTCCTTTTATCGACAATTCATCTTCCAGTGTTGCAACACGCTCCATTGCAACACGCAAACGTTCACGGACCTATTTAGCGAGAAAAAATTACTGGAAACAATCTAACTATGAGTGCCAACATATAAAAACACTAGCTTCAGATCCTTTATTTGCATATGAATGATTTTCCTTCCATCCAATTTCAAATATCATAAAGTAAAGATGACTTACTTTTTCATCCAATGCTTTGTGATGCTCAAACAATGATTTAAGTGCTTTCAAAACTTCTACTTCACTACTCACACCAGCTGCTGGACTTTGAGCCTGTCGTTTCATTACCGTCATTCGCAAAGACCGCTCATGCCGCGAGACCTACGAACGAAAACCGTACGAAAAACTGTTTAAATTTATTTAAAATACTTCCTTTCTCAAAACATTCACTGTTTGATTCCTAGGAAAAAATATGTCAAAAAAAGATAGTGTCAACCATAAAATCACAAAACTTAATTTTTTCACACCTACCAATCATAGCGACTTCAACTAAAAGGCGTATCCAGTGACCAGCAAAAACATCTAAAGTGAAAATAAATGGAATACAAACAAAATTGCACCTACCAAGCACTCTAAATGCTCCAACAGTAATCTCGTATTGTTTCGTTCTGCTTTCAGCTCTACAATTTCTTCATCTTTTTCTAATAACTGTTCACGTAACTGAGCTAGTTCTTTGGTTAGTGACTGCAATTCCTGTAAAAGAAAATCATTTATTTTATAGTGCTACTAACAATAACTTAAAATGAAGCTTTCTTTGAAAAGCCAATTACGTGGCCACTTTTCATATTCGGATGGCGCTAAATATGTTTCCAATAAATGGAAAATGCATACTGCATATCTCAACAACCCTCCGAGTAGATTACAAAAATTTAATGAACCACAAGTTTTCGAATTAAAAACTAACTCCAGGCAAATGCTGAGTTTGCAAGTCGAACTGTCTACGGAGACTTTCCTTGTCACGTTCGGTATCTTTTACATGCTGTTGCAAGTCTTCGATACGCCGCTGAGCATCCTGGCAAACAAAAGAAGCATAAAGCTAGTAATTTCTAGTCTTATCAATTTCCATTAAAAGATCACCAGATGAAATTCTATACGATATAGTCTGCATGATAATCAAAGGGATGTGAAGTTCTTATAAATAAAATTTAACATATCATTAACCTATTCCTCGGAATAACAGATTAATTTTGGTGCTTATTTTATTGTACAAAATATGAAAAACTTTCGAAACCATAGGACAAAAAATTTTGACCTAAAACTAGTTACCTGCAACTGTTCAAGTAATTTGTCGCGTTCATCAAGCATATTCACCATCAGCTGTTCTATACGATTCTGTTCACCAGCCGCGCCCGACAAATCACATGATTCAGTGCCAGATCCCTACAAAAGATGAAGATCGACTAACAAATTTATTTCTTTTTAAACAGCAAAAAATGGAAGTTAAAAATATTACTACACCTGCGGAGCATCATCGCTGTCTTCAGAAATAGTTGGCATCACATCGCACATCATCGTGCCGTTCCAACTCATTTTGTTTTGCACTTCCTTATGCCTACAATGATTTCTGTATTTTAAATACAAAAAAATTTGACTGTAAAGATAAACAAAAACCAGAAAATTTTTTCGTTTAAATTTATGTTTACCTTTCCCGTTCAAATAACAGTGATATTTGTCACCGTAAAATGAAAACCGCATATGTGTTCACTGAAAGTGCAAATGAAGGCATTCATCGTCCTACTCTTAATATTAACTTAAGGCTTCTAATGCATTACAGAATTAGAGCAGCAACGAAATTGAAAGTGATTTAGTACTGAAGTTGGAAGCTGTAGTGAAGCTAAGTATGATAAATGTTGATAATTCTAGCAGTAATCTGTCGACCAACAAAAGAACAAACGTCCTACATAATATCAAGATGGTACCACTGATCCTGAAAAACTTTTCGACTCTATGCAACAATAATTTATTTCAAGTCTCTGTGAATACAGTACAAATCAACTGAGATTAGAAGAGATGTGTGAACATACCAAATTAATGCAAAGCGTCCGCAGTCAAAATCATTCAAAAATTAATTGTAATACACCTGAATAATTGAGGGATAGAGTCAAGATTCGAATCTTTAATTCTAAAAAGTGAACAGAGTCCCTATGAGAATGAATACAAAAAAAATTAACCAATAAATCATTGCTCTTATTTCAAACAACTCTACAAAAGGAAAACGATAGCATCCACACCTTCATCCAGTGAAAAGATCTTTCCCTTGCTTTTTCATTGTTAATGATTACATATATCATTAGAAATAAAGCAAATTCTTTTCATCACTTCTGATAGCAGTGGAAGAAAAAATGGGCATAAAGGGAGGAGGCAATAACTACCGAAGAGATAAAAAGGATAAAAGGTAAACAGGATGTGATTTACTCTCCCTTTTATTTCTCTTACTATGAGTAAAGGAATTGTAAGTGTACCAATGCTGAACAGCTGTTTCCGCAAGTGGAGAACAGCAGCGGTGCTTCCGCTGACCCTTAGAAATATTAAACATCTGCGCGGATTCAGCCTGATATTTCCATCACACATATTCTCTAGCAAAGCGCAAGTCAGAAATGAAATAAACTGACCACAAGTGATCAAAAAATGATAAAAAAGCATGAGGAAAAACAGGTTAAGAATCGTAGGAAAGACGCAAAGCAAATCAATATTAGTAAATATTGGTGTCATTCACATAATTTACTAATAGACAAAACAGTGTTTTAGATCCGAAATTTTAAAGCAATACACAATGATTTCACTATTATTGGGCACGTCTTCAACATCTTTACTCTTACCCCTGATAGCCTTCCTAATATAACACACTGCAAAATATTGATCCTAAAAACCAAAAGCATCTTCTTAAGTATGAACACCCGTTATTATTTTGAAATTATTTAATAACTGCATTGCAGACCTTTCTATTATCACTAATATCTTTCACTCTACAACTTTCCAAAAGTGTGCAATATGAAATCGTAAAAGTCGCAGCTATATTGACTCTGTAACGACGTCATCTTATCGATTTTTTGAATAGTACTGTAGAATGTGGTGTCTTCCCAAAAAGGATTTAGCTTCAAATATGTGAATTCAAGAATTATACACCTGCTCCAGAAGCATATATTTAAAAAAGTATAGATTTCTATATACACTTTTCCAGATGTATTTAAAAGATAGATTAAAACGATGATAAACATAATATACAAATGAATGAAGTATATTACACCTGGACTTCCATACCATAGATATATCTTTTTTAACAACACATCTCTAGCATACTCATTCGACAATGCGAGAAAATCGATAAAATATTTCTAGCAGTCCGGAAATTAACAACGGCATGCAAACACTCATGCACTACCCAACAGTGACGATAACATCCACTAACTGCCAGGAAATAACTTTTGCACTCAGAAACTCATCATCAAATAGTAAAAGTGATGGCCAGTGAGATCAGTCATAACACATAACCATGCAGAGATGCGAGCAACGATATAATCTCAATCTCACGTAAGGAAATCGTTAACTGACCCAGTCTTATTCTTCTAAGTCATTTGTGTAATACAACATGCTTTCAGTGGAAAATAACACCTAGATAGCAGAATAACACAGAATAAACAATCACAATGTGACACACTAGACGCAAATATGTAGCATATTTAGTTGGGTATCAGAGATAAAATATATGGACAACACTCTACCGTGACTGAAATGTGGTGCAAGATATCGAATGCTATTCGTCTGACTACGCATAATGATTTGTTAATTATGGATTTAAACAAATATGTAGATTTGAATAATTAATTTTACAAACAGGAGGTCTGATCTGCAGTAATTATAAGTCAATTACTATCCTTTTTTGTTACAAAAAAAGATACTTTCATTAACAGCTGCATACCACCTCACTATATTAAATAAATAGCCAAAATATCCGAAATAGCCACACTGCAGATTCATCCAACTCGGATAGAATTCCTGAAACAAATTCGGTATTTTTTAAAAAAATCTAGATGAAGTAAGAATGTATGAAACACACAAATAGAAAGCCTAATCGAGGATACACGCAACTAGCCGCATTCTTGATAGCTAGAAATAATTTGATTTCAAAAAAAAATTGTTCAGTAAAAAGGTTCAAGAGACATAGATTGTTTTTGATGGAAGGCATTATAGTTGGTTGTGTTGCAGCGCAGATACTATTGGCTGGTTTAATGAGATAATTTCTGCCAATCAATTAAACTTCTCAGACCGAATTTCTGAACTAACCCTATAAAACTACAGATGTGTAAATGGTCTACACTACGAGAGTAATTCAACAACTCATCAACAAAGTCGCCAGAATTCTGAATCGATATGATGGGAAGGCGACAAGATGGTTATTTGAAATGATTGTTAGCCATTTATAAGCAACCTGACCGTAAACATCACGTGAGACTTCGCTAGTGCCACTGTTTCTCTTTATTAAAGTTATCCTCACTTAAGGATACAACAAATGGCCTAATGCGTGATGTAATGCAATGAAAACAAACTGAACTGGCTGATTACTACAGCTGATCATTCTTAGAGCGTAGAATCTATGTGAAAAAGATGTGACAACGAGAATCAATCCCAAACCCAGTATCCATGGGTGCAACTCTACATGTGTTACTTCTCGGTCAGCCAGTGAATGTAGCTCATTTCTTGGTTGTGGGAGAAATGTCTGTCCAGCAAACACGGAGCCATGAAATCCGTCTAATGAGACAAATAGCGCCATATGTTGAACTATTTCATCTTCCATCAGTAAAAATGTATTGATTTACATTGCCGCCAACATTCGTCGGAGCCACCCACTTTGTCTGCTTGAAGTATTGATTGTCCCGTAATTGATACAACTGATACAAGTTAAAAATTTCATCATTAAGCCATCAGTGTTCCTACAATCTCGTCTTTATTTCTTAACACCTTTATCTTCCCTTCTTTGTCATAAAAATGCGACTGCAAGGCTTCCCCCATTATGAAAAAACATTGTCTAATCGATGGTTAAAGTTAGACGCCAACCCTGATCTCTTTCAAAGAAGACCAAAGCGGCTGCCGTTAGAGTGTCTTTTTTCATTATGATTCAAGTGCTTTATCTGCAATTCTGGAGGTGTGAGGCATCCTTCTCAGTATCACAATCTATAATAAATAGAAACATATTGTTCTAAATTTCAATACAGAAACATCGAGAATATTTTTTGTTAGTCTCGACACTTCCATTCGTCTTTTACAAGTATGCACAAAACTCATGCAAAAATAACGCTGCAGCAATAAGTTAACTGACTTCTGACTTTCACTTAGCAACTTGTCAAACGGCAATATGGAGACCAAATTTCCAGTAGAAAGCTTATCGACTGTTTTAAGGAAACTTATTTTTTCAATCAGTCACGAAATAAGCAGTGCAAACAATTAGATTTTTTATGTACTCTGTTCAGTGATGCCTGAATTTACGTTGATTAACACTGAATTACTTCTTGTCAAGAGTCCAGGTTCTGGACATCTCTAACCCCTACTAGATTTCATACCGTAGTGTATAGCGGCGCATCAAACAGCGAATGTTTTATTAATAATCTGCTACTGTAGCCAACTTGTTAGCATTACAAAATCAGAAATGAAAACTAGGAAATAATTTCTGGAAACGACGAGGTATATGGACCCTCAGGTTTCTGACGACTGACTTGTAAGCAGAAAATAATTGCCAATAGATATCTACAGTCACAATCCCTTATTGAAAAAAACACGCTGTGTTGCAGGCATATTCATGCCCATGTGACCTTTCAGTTCTTCATAGGTTGCTGGTTCGTAGTGCATCAGTGTTGTAGCTTTAACACTACTAAAAAAAATTGGAGAAACTCAAATTCAGAGTGATTTTGATTACATCATGTTTGCTCGTGTGCATCCCACGTCTCCCTTCCTTCTATCTCCTAATCTTCCTATATCTCGAAACAATTTCTAAATATGTGAACAAAATTTAAAGGTTTATGGAACCCAGCTAAAAGAATAAGCATACTTGATTTGCGGAAATAGTGCACAGCCGACTGGTACCATTGATCCATATCTGCAAAACTACTGACATAAATTTTGAGAATTATGACCGAGTATGTGTCGAAAAAAAATCACTACTACTACTTCGCACTGTGTTTTCCTCCTAAACCTGGCATTCATTTTAGCACATTGGGGATTTAAAATTTGCAACTTCTCTAAAATTTTTGTCTGACAACTATGCTTTTATAGACCGCGCGATGATTCGAGTGAAACATAACGAATTCAATGGGAATTTCTCCAACTGCTATTGTTAATTCTTGTGATAATTATCAACAAAAGTTCGGTCGCTGCTGTTATATGCTTTTGAATGTAATGACCAAACCATACAAGTAAATACTTACAAGATAAAAGTAAGTACAAGCTGCGCTGGTATGTTCAAGAATTTTGCGCGATTGCTATACCAGTTGCATTTCTCCATAGCATTCATAATGAGGGGTACAAGTACTGCAATAATAAGTTCAGTCAAAGTTCATCATAATAAGTGGTTCAACAATACTACTCAAAGTCTATCTCCAGCTAGAGCAAAAATTTAATACACTGCAAATGATCCAAAATTTAAATTGGAAGAGAACTAACACATGCTTGGAGTCACAATAACATTACGTGAAAACACCACCAAAGTTATTGCTTTATATGCTGCCATCTACAAATAAAAAATGTGTACAAATTTTGTTAATTAAAATGTCGCAAGTGGATAAAAAAGAAATACCTTTGATTTCCCTACTACTTGTCCTGCTTCATTCGTCACTGGAAGGCCATCAAGTAGCTCACTGTAAATTTAAAACGAAGTAAATATTTCTAGTCCATAATATCGTTGTTTTTCGTAAGTAGGCGAAAACAGTGAAAAATCAAAAATATAGTACTTTTGTCGTGTGAAGGGGATATTGATGGCATTTGCAACTGCTACCGCAACCAAAGGCACGAAACGCTGGAACAGGGGCGAAAACGCACGCTAAAAAAAAAACCTAGCAATAGCAAAACTATTAGATGAGCTTTTCCTAATACTGAAAAAACTCTCCCACTCTTGGTAGCTTCAATAGGAACAGATGCACATATCCAAGCTGCTAACTGCCAGCTGCCTATTATATAAGGCTTTAAATCTCAGCAAGCATGAAATAAGCAGAAAAATGAGTAACCTTTGCTAGATAATTCTTTAAGCTTACAGCAACGCCAAGTGCACCAGTAACCGCTGAGGTATACGCAACCAGTAAATCCCTGCAAATCAAATGTCAAAGCAACAAAAATTCAGTAATAACATTACTAGATGTCACAGTAACAATTATAGGAGCATAAGTATCTACATCTTTTTTGATATTCCAAATATAATATGAAAAAAATGAAAAAAGAAATAATCACATATTTTCACAGTACGGGCTTAACAAACTTCGAAGATTTATGACCAAATTAAAAAAAAAAAAAAAACAACAACCTTTTTGATAAAGGACTTTGCGCATTCCGATTGGTATAATTGACAAGTGCATTGAAGGACTGATTAGCCCACTGCCAGAAAACTATGGCTTTTGTACTCCTAAACAGAGCTAATCGCTACAGTAATGGAACACGAATCAAAGCGCTTTTTAGTCAAGTCTATGGATTTACACTCAAATCAGTTTTTTTGAATATTTAATACTTCTTCATTGGAAATTAACCTGATGAGATTAGAGGCATACAACTGCATCGCACTCAAGAATATTGTCAGTGAAACCTAACCAATGCCCTATAATCCTACCAAAACATGCAGTGGTACTCACTTGTACCACAGCATCATTGCTCCGCAAAGCAATGTACCACCCCATGCATTAGCGCACATACGTCCCGGTAGTGTTTGCAATTGGCCAGTGTCCGGATGAAATGCTGAACCATAAAACGCTTGAGCGCGCTGCAAATCTTCCATAGTAGTACCATATGGCTCTCTGCCAACCCTATCAAAGAAGAATTTGTAAAATTTACGATTTAAAAATCCTTTTCAATTCCTCACCACATGGGAAAAAAAAATTAAAGAATAATTGATTTTCTTGTATAATCGTTCTACACATCGAAATTAAATACATGAAGTACAAAATTATTCCAAAGACTACTTCATCCATTCATAAAATGTTAACAACATGTAATGTGCCAGTCATCTGCCGAAAGATTTCTTACTTAATCATAAAACATTGTCCAAAGACTTCTCTCATTAAGACCTAATTTAGTGTTAGAAGTTTCAACCTGTATAATTCAAGCAATCGTTTGCTATATTGAAGTGTGTCCTGGCTAGCAAATGCTTTCAGCGGATCAGTAATAGTTATAAAATAACGCAAACGTCCCAAAAATCTACTTTGGTCCCACCTACAAACAAATTTAAGTAAAAAAAATAAAGTTCCAGCAGGAAAATAAGGATGTAAAGAAATCAGTGGGGAAAGCAAAGAGAACCCCTGGAAGTCGGAAATTAATCACTTTCAACACCTCTATTTCAGTAGTATGAAACAGTATAAGATTTACGGGTTTCCTTATAAAGAATTCAAAGAAAGATTTGCATCCCGTTTAACCTCATAAACCAGATAGTAAATTTAGAAATGACTTGAAAAATTGTGTTACCTTGGATTATCAATATTGTACCTCTGCAATCTTAATTCGGCGGACATCCCAAACTTCAATTGATTTCAGCTTTCATTTCATTATCGATCGACAAATAATTAGCTAAAAGTTCGCCTCGGAAGAAATTGTTTGCAGTGCGCATAAAAGCAAAAATAGCAGAAATGACGACATATGGAAATCGCACATAAGAAGGAAAAACTTAAGTCAGTAAATACAATATAAGACGAACAAGCTTCTCTATATAGATATTATCCACCCAAAATCATATATTGTCAGTAGAAATGTAAAGACAGGTTGCTAGAAACTATTCGTAAATTTCAACAACTTATTGGAACACAACATTTTTATCTGAATAACAATATCTACAACAATAAAACATCAACAGCACTATGGGAAAACCCTAAATTGTGATCGCATGCAGAAATCTGCATTAAGGAAAAACATATCTCACAAGGAACTCGAAGTTCTTAAGTCCCATAAGTCTTGTAGAAAATTATCATTTCCTCGATGGATATATACATGAACTCTTAGAAAAAATTTATGTTTGAAAGCACCACAATATGAAGAAAACAAGCCATATGTTTTAAGTTGAAGAGAGTGGTGTGATGCTTACAAAACTTGCCTGTTTAAATTTCTTTACAAACCTCGAAAAACTTAAAATCAGAAATTGTCAAACAAAAATATGAGCAAAGTCGAATAGCGAAAACATTTTAACGATACTGATATGTTACCGTTTTCATGTATTGGACCTGAATAAATTGTAACTGACGAAAAAATAAGTGGCAAGAATGTAACGACGATGCTAGATATCCTCTTTTCACTATCCAAATGATACACTTTTTTCGAAAAAAACTAATTGGAATTTTGAAATGATGATTGCACCCATGACAGACCAGAATAAAAAAAAAAACATCAGAATGAATCGAAACTCATGATTTACCTCCCCCTATTCTTCTTTAATTCAAACTTAATCACTGTTTACCAGCACCTTTTACGAACATCTAGATGAATAATTTAGGTATTCGTAGCCCATATCACCTAAAATCATTTTACTTACATGCGCAAAATCTATCAGTTGCACAAATACTAAAAATTTTTTCAAAACATATTTCATACAAATTTTTCCATACAAATCTGCACAGGACTACCTGAAGGGATCTTCCCCTAAAAGTAGCAAAAATTGACAAAAATATTTGAAAAAAGCAGTTGAGTCACAGAACTGTTACAATGAAGAATAAAACGAAATCCCAAACAGATACTGTCTGTACATATTTTTCTTTAAAAAAAAAAAAAAAAAAAAAATTGAAAAGCTACTCTGAATCGAACTGGAACGATATGATAATCGAAGAAAACATATAACAATAAATAAACAAACGACACTTAAAAAGTGAATGAAATAGTAAACTGAAGAGTCCATAGTAGAATGATAGATGTAAAAAATAACAAGATTACCATACAGCATGACATCAACTTCATTACTAGGCAGCATAGTTTCTTCATAACCTAATTTCAGAATATTGCCATAATCTCAATGAAAAATTATAATTATACAAGATTCATCACATTCAAAATGCTGAAGACAGGTTTTCCTATCTCTCAAAAATGGCTTATCCGCATATATAAAATCCAAAATTAACCTGGGTAAAATTGGACACTTTAACAAGGTTTCATTCATAGTGTCACGTTCAAATTTATTTTGAAATTCAAAAAGCCCCAAATTTAATCTAGAATGATTAGTTTAATTGTTTTATATTATATTTACAAAGTCTAGACATTAATCAGAGCTATCATGATTGCGGTTCAGTTGCTGATCGATTTTTCTAACTAGTAAGAAAAAACCCAACATAAATAGCAACTGATGACCAACAAAATACACAAAAATGTCATAAAAATTACTCATGCTATTTTCTTCTTATCACAAAATCCTTAAAAATCATGCTTTCAGATAACCTTGATAAAATGTATAGGTCTTGGAACTCAAAGTTAAACGGAGACAGCAGCCTCGATTAAGGACACTCTAATATTAAAAAAACTGGGAGAATATTTAATAGGAATTATCCAGGTCAAAAAATGAATCAACAAACTGGAAGCATATCTCCGCATACAGATACACAGGTGAGTGTTCTAATGAGTACTTGTAGAATTATTGAATGGACAAACATAAGTTGCTGGGAACATGCCCGATTTTCCGTTCAATGTACCTTCCCACCAATTTTCATCTTCCCGATTTGTCACTGAAACAGTTTCCTTTATTTCAATCAGACATATCTTGAATTTCAGAAATTATAAAAAAGAACACAATATTAAAATCTAGAATAATATTGAATTGTACTATTTACCAGTAATAATATCTCCTCGCTTGAAACCCAGTTCACCCTCTTCTTGTGGCTTAAAATCAAACATGGCCTGTACCAAATGAGTACCTTGAGCTGCCACGCTATCCATATTCTGAAGCAAAATTGTATGCGAACGAGAAACAGATGCCGATCTGAAATACATGTCCACGGTTTGTTTTCTTCGCAATCTAGTGATTGATAGCCGTCCTTTCCAAAGGATGGTAATTTAACTCATTAGAAGAACCCATTTAGATAGTTACAGAATATTAAAAAATATTTTTAAAGAAAAAATGCAGAATAAACATGAAATAGTAATAATGTGACACAATGCACGAAATCATTAAATACAGTAACCTCCTTTATTAATGGGCTAATGATTTACGCTAAAAAACTGTATGTTCACCGGTGATAATTTATTAATTCATTGATCGAATTGAATTTTACTACCCAAAGGTAATATTTTCCATTATTGTCGCGTAACACTTTAAAGTGTTGCACCGAATCTTGAAACCTGTAAAAGGTAAAATTAAAGTTTTCACGTAACAACCTCATTAGTTTAACAAATTCAGTGTGTGAAATTATATCGAAGTATTTCTCAATCTAAGTACAAAACTGGAAGAAAAAAAAAGACGTATTTGTTTTACTGAATATTACCTTATTAGTAATGGATATACTATGATAGCATGCATGCGCATTTGGTGAGCACAAAGAAAAGTCCTAGAGTTCATGGACATTGACTTTTTCCCCTCTCCATATATCCTAATATTAGTATGCAGGGACTTGAAAAGAAAACGCGTGAAAGCAAGCTAAGGTTTGGTAATCAGTCTTAATAAGTCCGTTCATAAATGCTTTAGCAACAACTCAGTGTCATCAGAATACATCATACTGTTAACGTTGATGATTTCAACCAGACATGCTTTAATGTTTCACTGCATTTTCAAACAATCAGTTCAACCAAAAACTAACACCTGAAACAAGGCCTATTACCTCTGTTTAACACGTTTAAATATTTTGACCATTGATGACACAGGAAAAGCACAAAGAAAGAGAAATGCCAACAACCTCACAGAAATGCTAAAATCACCAGGAGAGCTCTCGGACTGCCGTACGAGAAATGCACCATCACCATTTCCAGGTCGCAGCAACAGTGCTTCTGCATCTGCACGACTAATTTTCCCAAGGTACCCAAAAACGAAACATTCTATGATAATATATATTCCAAAATAAATCTGCGACCACAAGATGTCAAAAACCTTGCTAGGTATAATGTTATGACCATCTACTTCTACATGTGATAAAAAAAACTGTTAAAAGTACCAAACTAACAATTTCAAAACTAAGAATCTCAAGCTGTTATGATCAGATTCATTAAACCTATCTTTCTGGATGATAATAGCAATAAATTGAGAACTATAAGTGATGGGAAAAAAAAAACAAAAAACAAACCAATCATGTTCATTCATTCTGATATAATTACTGGGAATAAAACCTTCATGCCCATCTAACTCAGCTTTGTACCAGTGAGGATCTTCATCCTTATTTAAAACCTGAAAAGTTCATAAGCGATTTAAAGACATTAAAAAACAAGAGAAATCGAATGAAATGAAGCACAAATTTCAAATCCTGAACAAACTTGTGAGTGTTAACTTAAATCTGTTTAATCTTCTTCAGTGTGAAAGAGCTACTAAATGTGAGTGAGATCATGCAGTTACTAGTGACTATTCACTTCCTAACTAGGATTACCCATGACTACCTGGAAAATCAATAGAGAATATTAGGAACACTAACTCAAAAAAATCAATCAAAAAAACTCATAAAGAAAATTGCAGGACAGAAATTGCTTTTAATTTATTTGTTTGATATATATCGTAGAAAAAGGGTAGTGGTCAAATAAGCGCTTGCTTGTCTGATAGTTTTAGCAATACATGCTATTTCACAAGAGCCGAGTTATTCAAACCTGATACCGATTATGTAATTACTTTTTTTTAGTCATTAAAGATAAAATCACTCAATATCACTGTAGGTGCTCTTACAGATTTCAGCAGAGCATGAGTAAGGACTCATGCTCTGCTGAAAACTGTGGAAATTCTATCAGCTACTTGCCTGAACATAGCTAACCTTCAAAATCTGATTTTTTCGGAAACTGAGCTCATCCTCAGCTGTGGCGTTGAAATCGTGCTCCGCTACCGCCTCCATCACACCGTACCTGGAAAAGTTATTCAGTTAACAGTTAAAAATTTTCATTTGATAAAAAATTTTCTGAACTTTAGCCGACTTCCTGCAAAATTTAAAGTACACGACATAAAACGTACTCCTTCAATTTTGACCTTTGCTTGAAGTGAATTCCTTCGTGAATGTTTAAAAAGGAGAAAGGAGCTTGCAAGTAAAAGTAAACCGAACACCTGAAGCTACCAATTCTTTTCTGAAAAAAAAGCTGGATCAGATCAAACATGAAATAAGTATGGTTTACCGCAAAAATCAGGACTCCACATTTATTGAGCGACTCTAAAATAACAGGACGAAGTTCTTAAAAGAATATATCCTAACAGTAGCTTTAAAGTCGAATTTTCTGGAAAACCTGAGCAGCTTATAACATCCAGAAATTTTGCTAATATCCATTAAGTACGATTTAAAATATGAAGAAAAAACAGAAACAAATCGTATCAATGTAGACGGAGAGAAAATATATATGTTAACAACAGCACCTAGTGAGGTGTTGACGAACTTTAAGTACTTATGGCGGAAACAAAGTGAAAGATTTTGTCCAGAGCAATCTTCCATTCATTTGATGCCATTTAACCTTTTGCATTTCACAATCAAATAAAAAGATGAAGACGTATACATCTAGCAAACAACAGCTCTCATCAGAAACAAAGAAGTAGAGTTTCGGATTTCAACAAGCGATAAAAAACCAACTGTGCCTTCTACTTGCATATCTCATCAAGCTCATTTTTCCATACCAAATTGCTCCCCCTGAAACAACCTCAACATAACATTAAAGTACACAATGAAACCAAGCAACAACCTTCGAAGCAAACCACACTCCAATGCTACAGCCTTAACCTGCAAACACCAATACTACTCACTGTTTTATCTGGAAATCGTTGGCTCCAGTACAAATGAGTGGCTGATTGCAGTGTCTTTTTCAAAGGGACGTAGTGCTCCTGAAACGAAGAAACCCGCTTTGTCCTTTTTATTCTTCCAAGATGTCGCAGAGCCTTTCGGGATTCTCGAACAGGAAGACTACTGATTGTTGTACGCAAACTATATTCATATTTCTGTACAAATACTTATAAGTCGCAATGCAAATTGTATGAACAGGCGATGATGATTTGGCATTGAACAAGAAAAAAAAAGAGAAAACTTGTGTTGACAGCTGAATTCAGTTCCCTCAGAAGATTAGAAACAGATGAATTCTGACTGCAAAGTGTCACATATTGACCCATTGATAACTTTTATTTTCTCCATTTACCCTACCACATGCATATATATATTGGAAAAGAAATTCAGTTTGTGAAAATGGAACAGTAAATTACAATCACTTTATGTCAATACTAAAATTTCAGAATGTTTGTTTGCTTGAAATGCTAATATTTCGGACAAATACCTATCAAGTGCTGATATTCTTAAATTGGGTGTTTTAAATTATAAATGAAGGCTCTTCAATGGAAGTATAGGAGAACTCAAGAAAACGGAAAAACGGTGCGAACTGGAGAAATTGTCATTTTGAGTACATCATGTATGGTTAACTGCAGGAGAATGATCGTTTTAGAAGCAATTCTGCTTGACTTGTTCATTATGGCACTAGTGGATACAGTCATGACTTTCATCAGGCATTATAGCTTCCAGATTCCATGTACCAATATCGAGGGCCTTCTGCGGTACTTTACCATTTGTAATGTAGTGGTTGGGCAATTCAAACTTCCAGCGTCGTTGGCATGGCTTAAAAAAAATTTTAAAAAGTAATAACTTGCGTGGTACAGTTTTAATTATGATAGCATAATCACTTTGCGCAAATTCTTTTTTTTTATATGATTACCTTTAATATGTTCGGGGACTTAACCGTTTGTCATCTTTTTATCTATATATTCAAGAAACGATTTATATAGATTTATATAACGGAAATCGGTATTGTTTAAAAATAATGAAAACTAAATGTTGAAATCAATAAGCAAGTTATATTCCTTTGAAAGCGATAAGTCTAATGCAAAAGTAAAACAAATACACGTACAGTAAAGCCATCGTTGCAATCATGGTAGATTTTTAGATGGGGGTCAATAGTGGTCATTTCATAGGTATCGCCAGACAATTTGAAGTAACCGTTTTGGTCGGTATAACCTGCATCCAAATCGTCGTCTGGATCCGATCCTGAAATCTTCATTTAATTATCCGAAATGAACCGACATTATAATATTACTCAGATTACTAGGAACTGACAAAACAATAAAATCAAGAGTGAATCTAGCGTGTTATCATCTAACAAGAATTCTACCTCACATGAAAGAGTAAATGTTGGGAATCTTCCATCATCTATAGGCTTTGAAAATATGTAAAGCTAATCATAGCGTCGTCTCTAAACGAGTAACTTACCGAAGTCATCATCGACCAATTTAACTCGTATGCCTGAGGCCGGCTGGGTACCACAAAACAACCTCCCACTTACCTGCAATTAAAACACGAGATTCAGTGGTGTTCTCTGAAAACAATATTAAATGTGAAAGTAATCGTTAGTATTTTGCTGTTATGTGGAATTCTAAAAATGATACGCTGTAGCTTTGAATGCCGGTATGTTGTTGTGGAATAATTGCACTATGCGACACGCACACCAACAGTGCGATAATTGCGCCCAATACACCGCGATACATTGTCATTCAGTACACCTTTAACGGAAAGTGAAAATATCATACAGTTGTAAATTTTTGGTGTTTACGTCCTAGCACTTCGATTGTAGACAGGATACAGTACCGATCTATATATATGCTGGTCTAGTGGTTATGCAAAATTGAAATTTGAAGACGACACAGTTCAATATAACTGTACTCGCTGTTGTCAGCAGTATAGTACTACTGTATGCACCGTCAACTTTTTGATTTCGAAACATTCCGAATAAAATCAAAGTTTTAGCTGAAAGAAACATAGCAATTCATTCACTTGACAGTTAATGATTTTCGACCAATCATTATGTTTAGTAAGCAAAAACTGAACTTTCCCTAAAAAATTAAAATTTACTGGTGTTTGATCTTACATAAGAAATTCATTTCCAAATTGATAGATATGATTTTCCAATCTGAGATCATCCAAAGTGTTTTGGAAATTATCCACTCAGAAAACAATGTTCGAACAAAAATTTATTCATTTGTACGCAAAAACTTATTATTAAAAATATGGAATTGGTAAAGTTCCATAACATCGTCTTATCAAATATATTTTACAAAGAAAGAAGTTTTGTAAGTTCTAAAGTCATTGATCTAATTTTTGTACATTCTTGAATGACTTCCAAATAAATTTAGCATTCATTTGAATGACACTGTCTCGGGAGCAGCACTTACAAAATTACAAAGCGAGAAATTCTGTGAAAAATAACAAAATGGAAGTGCGAATTGAGAATTACTGGATGTAGAAAACTGAAATGCATGACAAGACAAGAATAATCTGTTGGTCAGATAACCGGTATCCATTAATTTGATTAAAATATATTCAACAAAGAGGGTAATAAATGCAGTTCATTTTATCATTTCAATAAAAAACAAAATCGTAATGAAGTGAAGTCAAGTAAGCAGACTCTTGAATGTTGCTTTCTCATTCAGCCACAATGAATCGTTAATCTACATGCGCTCTTTTCGATGCCCTAATTAAGCCTTTCCTGACAGAGACAAATAATTAAACCAAAATTCCCATTCACTAATAGATCGAAAAGTGTCTATTGTTTACTACGGATGTTGTTGCTCACATTAGTCATTTGTTTGTAATGGTTATTAATTTCCTTTCAATATTGGATGTGCTGCTTTTTAATCTTTTGAATATTGAATTTCAAGGAGCACATGGACATCAATGATGTATACATTCTTGATCTTCATCTTCAAGTTCCACTTCAAGATTCATTTCTCCGAGTTCCATTGTCTTCCGAGCTACTGCTCCGTTAGATACATAACGATCCGGAATACGGATAACCCATTCCCTTTGACATGGCTGAAAGTGACGTATCTGTGCTGTATATTTGTTAAACTTTGATTATTCCGCAATTTACACTGATCTGCTTGCTCTGTTTATATCGTGGAATATCTAGGAAGAACTCATAAGGCAAAGTTTAAACTCATTAATGCCCGCAAGCAGCAATTTAATATGACCTCTCTTAAACCATAGTACTTAGGCCTAGTTTTCTTTGCTTACATACATGCATAAGTACATACTACACATTTAACACCTTCAAATTCCAAATAATACAACTCGGGGATATGATTATTGTCCGTCCCTTTCAAAAGAATGCATCCAGGCCATCACAGCATGACACTTGTTACTTGGATCTCACTATCGAAAGAAGCCCTCATAGCACACAACAATCAAATCACTGTTTGGCTTTCCAGCTTTGCTCTTCAACCGTTGACAGCATTGACCTAAAGCAAAGCAAGGGCCTAGCTCTTGAAATATTTCCCCTTCATAACTTCACAACGAAGTCAAAAAAGGGTGTCATTATTTTCACTCTTATAAGTGGTTTTAACACAGGAATGGTTTAACCTCCCATTATTGGTCTTAAAAGTATTGGTGTTGTCTTCAAGTTTAAATCTAAAACAAGAAAACCGAAACTGCATGTTGATTTTGTGGTGTTATGCTTCATTGTACATGCAACTGACCGTTCCATATGTAAGAAAGTGAAATTTGTTCGCAAAGGAGAGCTTTGTTCTCACCTGTGCCCTTTCTCATAAGTGCCGCAGAAGTTGTGTAATGTAAATCTCAGGGAAAACCAGTGCTCCACATTCATGAATCCATAACTTTGCAGCCAGAATTTCGGATGATTTCATTTGTTCACAATGTCATAAACACCAAAACCAATTCTTTAGATCTATCCAAACTGCGAAATTTTCGGCAGTATTGCCTTTGACCCTATTTAATTACATGGTAAATTGTAAATGCATTTATCAGTTTAATTCAACTTCACTGTCTGGCTCATGCTATGTATTGCAATTCCAACCGCAAGAGTCTTTTGGCACAGAATGGATTGAAAAATTAAGTCGTTTCTCAACCAGTTATTTAGAAACATTCATGATCAGGTAAATCACTTAACGAAGAAGTTGTCATCGTAACGCTAATGTTCAACATATTCTCTCACACTTTATAGTATTTTTTCAATTAGAATTCGTCACAAGATTTTGATGCGCCCCAACATCTTGATCAGTTCGTTCCTTTCAAAATAGCAAAAGACCGTCGTTAAGCAGTTAAATTGCAATCTGTTGATGGCTCTTTGATTTGAAATGCATTGTTTCAGACTCCTATCTTCATCATCTTCACTAGGTATTCATCGAAAATAGCTAACGCGGATATCGAGAATTCTGTTCGAGCTATATCAAACCTACTCCCAAACTCAGTTCCAAATAATACATTCGTATTCACTATTGAAGTTAGACCTTTCGTTATTCCATACACCATCTTTCTTTATCTTTTCCCTAAATAGTCAAAAGTCTTTAACTGTATATCAACAACCTTTCATTTCCTCATAGACACTTTCACTGAAATCTCAGGACTTCTCTTCTGCTCATTCTTGATATCAAACATATCACACCAAAGTCTTTTCATCCAGCGCGTCATCCGAGATCGGTAATGACTGCACTCCAGTGTATTATTCTCTTCCTTGGTCACTTTTTTACCCCGTCGAAGGTTGTTTTATCCGTCAAATTTCTGTGATTAGAAGTTGCATAGCAGTTCAAAGCAGTCATAAGTTGTTCAAGGAATCAACTCATTTATATCAAGAAGTGTTCTAACTTCAAGGCATTCAAATTATTAAATTGAATTCTTTGAAATATCTGTATTTTGTCTACAGTGAGAAAAAAGTCTTGAAAATACATGTTAATTGAATTATTCCTTGTTTTAATACTTAGGTCATCTTGAGTATGGGCATGGGACCTTTTCTTTTCCTGTAGGAGTTATAGAAGAGTAACCAGCAATGGCACCAATTAATACTTCCTCACAATCCATCCAGCAGTACATCTACTACTCCACTAATATTCCGGTCCATTTCATTTCCCTCTATGTTCAGTAGCTCTATACTCCTCACATCATGTTTTACTCAATCCATAAAGGGTTTTCTACATAAGATTCAGACCTCTTCGATATGTACAATCTTGCAGTTTTCCTTATTTTTCGTTCGACTGCCAAACGATCGCTCCTCCAATCTCTCCGTAAACATATATATAATATATATACGTACATACAGTACTCACCTAATCCATTCCAAGTAACTCACTTATGGACTTTCAGTACTTGTCATTAATAAAGTGATGCATGCAATTTCAATCAAACAACTTCAAATGTCCTGACTTCATGATCCATTTACTTCTGTGCACCCGCATCTACATCTCTTTATAGAGTCGGTAAGTTCTTTATATGCATCATTTTTCCAAATTTATTTTAAAAGAAAGTGAATAACACATGCCCTTCCGTAATCGTTGCAGTCGTGATAAATACGCACTTCGGGGTCAATCGTCGATAATTCATATGAATTGCCTTGTAAATCAAATTTGCCACCACTATCTGTATAACAGGAATCCATTAAATCATCCGGATTTGGACCTGCAAAAATAAAGCCTAAGGTGATCTGATTGTTCTACAATAATCTGCTGTAGCGATATCTATAATTCTAACAATGAACCGAAAGAAAAAAGAATTTGAAAGAAGTCTACACTGAAATCACTAGAACTGGTGAAAAACAAATTCTGGGATAATAATGGAGTGTGATTATTTTGAAGAACAAAAGTTCATTACCATTATCTTTATCGACTAATTTCACTAGGATGCTGGAAGCTGGCTGGGAACCACATAGCAGTCGTCCCCTGACGCGTACGCTTTGTTCGAGGAATGCATTAGCTGTATGCACTACAACAATGACAATGTAGGCGCTCAGGGAAAATGTTAGCCACATTTTTCCTGCAAAATTTTGAGTAATTTTTCGAACTTTCCAATCTTTGATTCTAATAGGCTCTCATATATTTATGTACAATATAAAAAGGTGCTTAAATAAACGCAATTTCCATCAGTGATAAAAGTGTCCAATCATTTCGGCTACACTTTTGTCCTAAAGTCTTTGCAGTAGCAGCAGTAGCAACAGCAGTTATCCATTATTTTTAAATTTTCAGGCTTTTCGGATGACTAAGCTGAAGACTAAGAATTTGGCTCAGTCCGATTATTTCTTAAATTCCATTCTATCAGTTGAAAAGTAGTGCTGAGCAACAGCTGTCATTAACAAACATTTGGTGCAGAATGATTCGTTTCTACGGTGAGAACAACAAACGTCAACTGAAAAGGTTAGGTTGTAGTACAAGCAGAAATTCCTAGTTGGTCCAGTCGCAGAATTCTTCAATGATGTATAGGAATATTCATTTCATGAAAACCGAACATTTTTATTTTGCCTTCAAATGTGATGTGAATTTTGTAAAAAAAATCTACTAGATTTGCAGAATTTCATCGAGCTTTCGGAAAATCACGCAGTTGGCGGGGAAAGCAGAAATAGAGAAAGGAATAATAATAGGTAGTAAATGCTAGAAAGAGGTAAATATGATCATTATCGAAGAAATTTATAAAGCTTAACCCGTAGTATTTAACACCTAATCACATTGTAAAACTAAAACTTTCAATTTTAGTAGGATAATCCGAGGGTAAAGTTTATCTATTCATGCATCAACGAAATGAGTGCATTGGATTGCATCGATCTGGATACGGAAGAGCGAATGAAAAGTGTTGCTGATTGCTGATAACGATTTCGTAATGATCAGGAGCTACTGACACGGGACAGCTGTCAATGTTATGCAATCTGTCTACTGCTGTGCAGCATGTTTGTGCTCCTGACAATATCCTGAGTCTCTCTGTTCGCTGGAGTGTGCATCATAAGATGGTGAAATTTCTGGGATTCAGAGACTGCAATCAATCGATAACAATATCAGGTTTATTTTAATAATTAAGTAAATAGTTAGTGGCAGAATGGAGAGTTTAATTCACTAGATTATGCTCGGATTGTGTAACTGCTGATCGATTAAGGTAATATCAAATCGAGTAAATTCCTTGATGAACATTTTCAAATGCTGAAAATGATTAGTTAATCATCTCATTTTGTACATCCGTTGCAGCTGTAACCTGGTTTCTAGAAATTCTGTGCTACAGAAGACAAACGTTTTATTAACATATACATTGATGATATACATATTTGAATGCTTACAGAATATGACAGAACTTTAAATATGACATTTGGTGGCATTACTGTAAGTAAACGAATTTAGCAATTTAAATTTTACAATTAATCTAATTTTGACAAAGGAGCAGTTATTCTCTTTTTAATGGATGAAGCACATTTCACAAATTACAGGTATGCTGTTAAGGAATATTATACGAGTAAATTACAACAAGCAGTCTCGCTTCTCGCCATAGAACACTACTTCAGCATTTAAGATACCAAAATCCATGATATGCTCTGCATCTCCTTCATTACTTATATATTTTACTGGAATTCCCAGTCTCCATTCACGATCGCATGGCTAAAGAAAAAAAAACCGTACAAATAGATAGGGAACGATAATAATTTACAGTGTTGAAAATTTATGCAGTTAGTTGTTTCGAATAAAAACTTAGAAAAGTAGTCTTCAGCTGCTTAAGGAACTTTTATAAAAAGATGCTTGGAAGATTTTTGTATTTAACTGAACAACTGCTATTCCAATTTTTTTCAAGAAATCCGTTTCTTTTTGAAGTTGAAGAGATGGAAGAGATTAAAGTTTTACGATTCCGCCGTCGTTGCATTTATGGCGAACCACAAGTATAGGATCGATTGTACTCCATTCAGTCTCGTTACCATGCACAAAAAAGTGCCCTCGTTGATCAGTTACATTCATCGCCATTATATCATCAGGATCCAGTTCTAAATAAATGCTTTCCTAAAAATTAAGCAGTGAAGTAAAAATCAACAACACGTCATAACAAGTAATGCAAGCTGCTCTTACGACATTCGTAAAAAAAAGTTTTTGTTTGAAAATATAGTATCGTCGTTAATTTATTTTGGTAGATCGTATGAAAGCTTTTTGAAACTTCAAAAATTTCGAAAACTTCTGAAATTTTAAAGAGACTTCGAGGTTGATTTGTGGTTTTTCTCACTTTAAAAATGAATTTTTGTAATATTTTTCCTCCCTGATAAATTAATGAAACAATTATAAAAAGTAGCTATGAAAACTATGCTTATGTAAATTTCGAAATGATTTTGTTGTAAACAACGATTACTGAACTATCGTGATCGATGAGAATTATATGATGATTCGGTAACGGTCTGCCTTCACATAGCAGTATTCCTTGTACTGCGACCCTCTGTACTCGTGATAGTGGAAACAAGGCATTAGCAATAGTAGGCAATAGTGTAAACAATATCCATTCCATGCTGCATCCTTAAATTCATGTATATTTAAATCTACGATAAGAAGTATAACTAATAAGACACCTTCTCAATTTTCCTACCAATTTTCAAAATCTTTCAAAAATGTCTATTACCTTTTTGATGTACAAAGTTAATTTATTCATCAAATTAATCTTTAATAAAACTTGGTGAAGTAACAGTACCGAACATTATTTTTACCTAACCCAGAACTCTTTTCCATCTCCAGACGCAGATGATACAATTTCAGTCTATGAAGAAAGAGGAAAAAAAAAAACTTTGATAAACTAAAATTAAAGTTTGGACTTGGAAAAAATTCAGAAAAAATCGACGAAACATTTATAATGCTATTAGGATTATTTACCAATAACCGCTTCTGTTATTTGCACTTTCTTAATCTCATTTCATTGATGATAGCTATTAAGTTCTTCATTTCCAATGATTAGTTTCTTTCGACAAAAATATTCATCTTTGTAATTTCACTTACCAATCCTATCCAATTTCATTATAGAAAGAGTAAAAGTTGATGGAATACTTAGTATTAGAAATTTGCGAGGCGTACATCAGTTATAAAATCAAATTGATGGGCTTATCAAACTTAGATGTTCTGACTAAGTATTAAAGAACATACAAACCACATTTGGACTTCTTTATTTGCTTTAAGGCTCGTTGAGCACTTCCTTTAATAAACAATTGAGTTCTCCAATCTTGCATCAACTTTTGAGTTGTAATCAAAACCTACTGAGCATCCTGAACGGATCATCAATTGGGCTGAAACTATTATTTTTGTTTTTTAATAAAATCTTGTCCATACGTTTAATGTTCATGCTAGCATGCACTGCATTAAAAGTACAACGAAAATAAGAAAACGTACATTATAAATGAACTCTTTTGAAGAATGAGTATGTCGGGAAAAACAAAAAAGAAAGAAACTAATGAGCGAAAATGAAGGACTTGAGAAAACACAGGAAGAGAAAATAGAGCAGTAAAAATGGCGCAAAGTAGTTGAAGAGAATTAATAGTGCATCAAGAAATGATATATCAAAGAAAATGAGCATAAGTTTATTTGATAACCTAGTATTTAATTATAAAAATGCAGGATATTTCCAGAGTTATATACAAAAAATAAGCAGCAGATGATGAGAATTAAGTGCTGATTCATGAATTAAAGTTTGAAAGATTAATGTTAGAGAGTTTAGTTGGAGTGAGGGATACGCTGAACATCGATTGCAATCAGTTAAAGAAAGCTAATAAGAACAAAGATGCAGCAATCTTAGTCAGAAATAATAAATGAACAGATGCACAAACAAATAAACGGAAAAACGGCAATCTGAGTAAAGAAAATATTTTCTTGAAACTGATTTATGAGGGTTTTAAGGGAAAAATTTCAAAACTTTCATATACTAAGGATATCATTGCAGATGAAACTTAAACTGTCCGACTATTTTCATTTCGCACCTTTTACCGAAACAAATGTTAACAATAAACATTGAAATACAACAATTCTTTAAGACAAAAATCATCAACAGTCAAAATATTTATTACCTCTGATTTATACATGCATTTGCATAATTTTGTAAATATTTCTATTGATACCTTTATAGGCCTTTACCACATTATCCTATGTCTTGTAAAACTAAGTCATCATGCTTTTCGGTCTTTCTATCATAATATGTCTTCCCATCAAATAACAAATCATTAATTCTTTAGGAAGGGAGCAGGAAACACTGGCTGCAAGTCTTTTCAGAGCTATCGTTTTCGCTGTGGGATGTTTCTTTCTTTTATCTGGAAAAGATTAAGAGTTCCATATGTTATCAAATATTGCAAATGCTGTGACTAATGAGGATGTTTTTTTTTTCTTTCACATGGATTTTCAACTACACTACTTGTCATAATTCCTGCGCAGTTATAGAACCGAATAACACCTACCGTCTTTCATCTGTGAACCATATACTTTGCAATCATCCTTTTCCTATAAATCCTCTAATACTGATATAAAAACTATAATAAATGCTAATAGTGATATAAAACTAACATAAAGAAGCCTTTTAGCCAGTACTTAGGACTGGCCAATTCTTCTCACCTTACTATTTTAAGCCCGTTACTATCGCCCTATGTTAACAGTGACCTGATCACCACTCAACCTGAATCACCACATCAAGTTCACCCATTGCCAAAATCAGGAGTGTTCATCACCTGTTCTCTTACGACTTCTTATTCTTCACTAGACATGGGCAGTTTATGATTTGAATTTCTACCACATCTAACACCATGCCACTTTCAAATGCCGAAGTTTGACCCAGCAGTAAAGAACAGAAATTTAAAAAAGACAAAGCCCTAGCTATGAAATTATGATAATCGATCTGAATTGATAATTTTATGCACAAAATCCAAAAATAATCAGATACACTGACCAATAAAATATCAAGAAAAATAATTTCAAGCATAAAAATTGGAAAAACTCACACTACTTCCCAAAAATCTAAACCCACTTCTAATATTCTGTTCTAATTAACGATCTTTTCAAAGCTTAAAATTTATTCAACACATCCGAGTACAGACTGATTAGATAATGAAGACATGTTCTGAATGATACCAGGGCATAAGTACGACTGACAAAACTCCCGCGAAAGTGTTGTTCGTAATCCTGTCTAAATATTACACATAAAGAACTTGCTGAAGTGAAAAGCAAAAAACAAGCTTGTGTTGCCCGTTAAATTTGTGCAGTGTGAGTTGCCAGTGCACATCAATAACAAGTTACATAGATTTTAAAGGAATCAGTAAGTCTGTATAGTATTTATTGCTAATTATGTAAACTTAAAAAATATTTCGAATTTTAAAATGGCACACAATTTTAAAAATATTATTGAAACATAAAAAACTGTTTTACTAAATACGAAGTTTTACAAAAATATTTCATACGGCATCTTTTCGTACCGCTCAGGCCTTTATCTTGATCCGTATTATTTCAAATAAATTAACAAGTTAAAATTGAACATATACGGACCAAACTTCATCAAATATAAGAAAAGAATAGCAAGATATCAAGTTTTATTCATTGATATCTGCTACTGATAGAACTGATAGGTCATCAAAGTGGTAAAAAAAAAAAAAAAAAAAAAAAAAAACAAATTGCTCTGCATTAGCCACTATGTAGGCTATAATGATGTGTATAAAAAACACATGATTTTACAGTAAAAATTAAGGCACCAACAAACAATTCAATTTCCATGTGTTTTCACTTCTTTTTAATTGGTGCACCTTTTTTAGCCAGTGGTTGACCCATTTCTTTACCACGCAACTTTACACCGAGCGCTCGTTCCATTTTAGCTAAAATCTGTAAAGGACAGAAATCAGTTTCTTTATAATGCAAGTGTATAAAAAATAAATTCAAAAATACAAGTACAAAAAAATGGAAGAACCATGACACTAATGAAGATAACCTGCTGATTAGGGACAGCTTTACCATTTTCATACTCCGCCACTACTTGCGGCTTCTCGTTGATGTGCTGAAATTAACAAAACTAATATATTAAAAATTACAAATTTAAAATCTTAAGCGTATAAAATTTATAAATGTTCCCCCAACCTGATTTAGAACGAAACAATAAATACTTACGGTAGCCAGATCTTTCTGTGTCCACTCCTTGCTTTGTCGTGCCTGCTGCACCACTTTGCCAAATGTCAGCGAAACACGTTCGTGATGTAACTCCTCAGTTTCTTCATCCAATCTTCATTGAACACAAAGTTAGCTCTAATGAAACAACTTTTGACTGTAGGACACAAATATTTCTAGAACCAAATGCAGTAAATGCAGTAAATTAGCCATCACTAACAAGTTATTTAAGTCATATGTCAAGTATTCTGCAGGATGATTCCCCCATAATTTTTGTGCAATATTTTAAGTTCGCTACATGACCACCAAAGAGAAACTCTACCACCTTGAAGTATTTTTAGTCGCATAATGTTGTTTATTACCACCAGCCATTATTTTCTTCGATGTTTCAATTGCCATTCCACGCCGTTGTGCTGCATTCAATTCCTGTAATATCAGAACTTGTTCCTAGAGAATATAAGTTAATGAAATCACATTTAATATATATGATATCTAAGATATGTAGACATACCAAAATCGGTTGTTATGACGAGACTAACAATATGAAAAATAATACAGCAAGAAAGCCCATTGTAAAACTACTTATCATATGCAACTTGTTCTTACACAAAAACAGAATTACCGCTGCTGTTCGCAACGTTCTTTGCGCTGGACCACGTCGATGAAGAATTATCACTGTGTCCGGATCAGTATCCGAATTTATTGTTCCCATTTTTGACATTCTCGAAATATCAGGACAATGATATTAAGCCTTAAAAAGCATAAAAAAATGACAAGATTAACCAGCAGATCGGTTACACTGCTAACACAACAATTTGGAAAGCCTTGCATCTATGAATGTATAATTCAGCATACATTTATTTATATATACCATGCAATACCTTTAAAGTACAACGCACTAAACCACAGCTGCAGAATGCAGAGTATGGAAGGTAGAGACAACGACAAGCATAAGCACCCCTAGCAACGGTAACCCACATATCACATTGTCGAACTATACAAACTCCATGCCCTCACACAATTGCGGCCCGCAATTTACAGACAGGACTCGCAGCTTGATTTCACAATAGCCATAACCATCCTTTCTAGGAACGAATTAGGTGTTGACATGACCTTCGTCCAGAAGTTGTGAAGAATGAGCCAGACGTTGCGAAGATTCTTACTAAGAATGAGTCTCAAAATGTTTGTTAGCCTTTTATCATGAATTCTGCTACGTTCGCTGCCTTCATTGCATAAATGGTTTAACAGATGTTTCTGACCATTAGTAATCATGGAAACTGATGATTGTATAGAATCTTGTGGTAACATAAACTAAATCAGCAGGATATTTACCACATCTCAACGGAAAATAAGCAAACAATGATAAGAGCAATTTCCAAATCAACTTCCCCATGATTCAAAAACAAACATCAATCACACTTTGATATAGTTGTCTGCAATAAAGCTGTCATCAATCCAAGACAGAAATGCTATAATTTGAATGCAAAAGCAACAAAAGATGTGATACAATCCATCAAATAAAAAAAAGGACCTGATATACGTTAGGAAATGCTATGAAATATAAGAACAGAAAAAATACACAGCTTATAATTTGCAAGTGTGGAAAACATGGAAACATGTAAAATGGGAAATGCGCACAATATGAGAACTGTACAGTTGAGTACATATTTATAGACATATAAATAATTTTTAGAAAATCGTAATTTTCAATTTTTTAGAAAATCGACAAACTGACAACATAGAGAAAAGTACTATAATACTTCATCTTGCATTTAAAACACATAAATGACTATAATTGAACAATCTAAAAAGAAATTTAAATTTGAAGACGGAACATTAATTGCGAGATTTTGAGTGAATATACTTTCAGCTTATCTCTCAATTGAAGGAATGCTGGAATGGGAGTTGAAAGCTCCAACTTGAAGTCAAAAATTTGAAAACATGTTGAATTAAGGCAATACATGGACTTGTTTGGCCTTCAGTTGTTATTTCAGAGATGGAAAGAAGGAGGAATCCAAATGAGGACAATATAGCACTTTATTAGAGAATAAAGAGAGAAGAGGCTTAATCACTTTTGCAAAAAAGTGCACAGTGATGACAAATAACTATAAAAACCAATATATCAAACTTTCAAAGCAGATTAACTCACTACCAGTTACCACTTGTACAAGCCTCACTTTACAGTCTGCTAAACAGAACAGCATTTACACCATTTGTGTATCTTTCCTTTGCTAATGTATCCTTGATAAATCTTCGACAAGCTTTAACACATCTTCTGCCAATGCATCCACTAGTTCTGTAGTTTCAGACGAAGATATACCTGAAAGTAATGTGATTATTCATGTGGCTGCAATAAAACAATTTATTAATTTGTGAATATTTGGAAATTTTAAATATTTTACTAGAGAGCTTGACACAAGGAAAAAAATATCACGTTTTGTGCTATTTAGTTCACACAAAAAGGTTGGTACTACTGGGAAGAATGATACAACTCAAAAGACCAAATTAGATGAATACATTACTTTCTGATAATTAAACATGCGCTACGAAGCTTTGCCTCTATCTTTTTTTAGACTTGAATTTCGAATCTTTTTTTCTTAGTTAGCCTGTAGTAAGTGCATAAAGTGATCAGAAGTGGTCACGTAGTTGTGGTCAAGATAGTACATCGACTATCACTGTATGCAAGGATATTAAATGCAGTTCATTAAGATAATTCAACCTACTTCACAACTACCTTCATTATAGCAAATATAAGTCAGAGTTATTAAAATTATCCATTTAATGTATTTCCCAGTAATTCTGATTATGTCGTATTCGTTCTTTCCTTCTTTTTCTCTGCATCTTTCTCAGTAAATCAAGTCTCTTAAGAAATAATTCTGAGTTGGTATTATTTTCAAAAAAATTCAGCTTTCATAGTAAACTTTTATATAAATCTTCGTCACAAATTTACCGTCACGTAAAAACACTTACCTTCAACTGAAATACTTTTAAACCTGAGAGATTTGAGCAAAATCCACTTCCCGTAATTAAAACAATTTCAATTAATCATGTTTTATTTGAGAATTCAATAAAAATCTTGCTTATAGTACCAGAGTTAATAATCATATAAGCATAACTTTCTTTTAAGTACCAGCTAGAAGGATGCATTCTTGGAAAATTAAAATATCTGAATGATCCTTTTCATCACTTAGAAAAAAGTTATAGAATAAACAAATACGGATTGTATTTGCAAGCAGTCAAGGAAATACAAATCACAAAAATAATGTATTCTTACTATTCAACAGCGGCATTTTAAGTCCGTTAACGACCTGTTCCACAGAATCTTTGCCCATATCCAAAAGACTCTCGATTAGATCACCGTCGATGAAACCATTTGGAGCTTCACTTCGTTTTTCTGTTTCAAATGTTCTATATTGTGTGTGCGAAATTCGCATACAATTTTCTGCGTATTCGGCCAAACGTTTCTGAACGTCTTGTAGGAATCTGAAACGCAAAAATCAAAGTCCATTCTTAACTTCCAATTGTAAAACCATAAAGAGAAAGTTCTCTCGATTAAAATTGAGGCTATCATAAATTTTACTAGAATAATCAAAACAAACGTATAAAGCACTGGCGGCATTTGAACAATAACTCCTATACCACCATCTGAAGTACCATACAAAATTGAAGAATGATATAATGGTGCCACATCAACTTGGGTAGCAGTTAAAGATCCATGGCAGAATACATTAACCATTTCGCCCAAATAAAATAATCCTAATTCCTGAAGAAATGTCTTCCAATATATTTTGTAAAACTCGTTAAAATGTAATATTTTTGAAAAGAAAATGTGATCGTCATCAAACGCTATCCCTATTTGAATACAACATACTGCAAATTTTCGAGGGTGGAATGAAAACATTAATTACTTGTAATCTTGTTCCCTCCTCTTTGAACACTGTGAATGAATCTTTCATTACCGTAAATAAGTTATAGGAGTTTTCGGCACCCAAAAAGTTGTCGGAATCAATTATCTCACAGGCGGACATCCAATTCGTCATAAAATCTCTTGAAACCATAATTATTAATAACATAAGAAAAAAAAAAAAAAACCTAATATTGCACTATCACAACCAAAATCTTCAAAATTTAAGAAGTAAAATCACTGTCGACGTAAAACAGACTAATACAAATCAAGTTTTAAAAGTATGAATACCAGTTAGATAGACGAAAGAGACAGAACTCCTCGCTTTTTCTCACTAGCCTTGTCTAAACACATAAGACAAATAAGCGCTTTACCTAGCTACTTTTTCAAACGTTGATTCCATTGATTTATAAGAAAGAAGAGAAAGAGACCGCATCAAATCGCCAACCAAAATTAAGTCATTCTTCGTCTTTAAATATAGTGCAGTAACGTTATCAAAATCTGAACATTCCAATCGCAATTCTTTATCCGCAGTCCATTCAAATAACCGAACACAACTATTGACTGCAACCACTAGCTTCCCTGTAATTTCGTAGTTATCGAATATGATAAAATAACTTAAACACAGAAGCTTTTTACAACATCTCCCTTCTTATGCTCTTTCAATTAATTAGGACGTCAGAAATGGTAAGAAATGTTCTTTCTTTCTTCATCTTCAGATTTTCGAATTTGAAGTTTCAAATGTTGAATAATAGAATCAAATGAAATGTTTTCAAGAGTTAATTTTACATACCATCCATAGACTGAATCGAATAAGCGGCTCCTTTAATCTCTTTTTCATATACTAAACGCATGCGTTCCGGTCCTTCTGACGCTTGAAACATCATGATACGGCCCTACAATCACAAGTTGTCACTGATCTGAAGAACTAACTAAATCTGTACATATAAGTGAAAGTTAGAGAACAGGAAAATAATAATTCAGAACAGATGCAGTGGAAATAACCATTTTAGATTCCGTTTCATCAGACATGATAACTGCAGTACCCACAACGAAATAAGGTTGGCTATCATCTCCCAGTTGACAAGAAGCCAGTGACATTGCCATCTCGCTGCCTTCAAGTTCATGCGAATGTAATATTTCAAATGTATTGGAATCCAGCAATAAAACTGAACTGACCTGTAATCTTAATGAATCCAATAGCAAGTATGTGAACAGAAAAAATGAAACATTTCAATCCCAAAACATGCGTATTACGGCGAAAATTTCAAAATGAAATACCTGAGATCTAAATTCATGATTTCTAACCAATTTTAACGATTGTTTTGTAGTTACTTCAACACATGCAAAAAAAAAAAAAAAAAAAAAAAAAAAAATGAAAAATGTGCCCTAATTAAGTGGGCCTTAATTTGTCTGAACCGCTCACTTCCATTTCTTCAGCCAAACATTCTGGAGTAGGTTCTCGCCTCATAGAGCTCAGGCGACTACTTGATGTTTCCATCGCATTTTTTGATGCACACTGCCCAAAATGATGTTTCCCCATGGCATCCACAAACTGCAGGGAAGCGAAAATAAAACACATGGCTTGTAGTGGGGAATATTAAATAAACATTCCTTATTACATACTAAGCATTGATTCCCCATGATCAAGTAAAACTAGTTTCGTCGACCTTTTCATTGGACAGTTGAAAAAGAAAATATACACCACATAAAAGAACAAAAACAAAATCACTTCTAGTCGTTCAACAATTACAGCAATTGTATTTGTTTCCGGCTGATAAGCAATTCGAGAAGGACTTTCACCTAGTGGAACTGTTCTAATATGAAGTTTCTGAATATCATCGATTCTACCTGAAAAGGAGGTTTCAATTTATTTATTTCACCTAAAAAGGAAAAAACAACAACAACAAACAAACTACAGAAGTCAAAATAAAAATTCCCAAAAAAGTATTTGATCAATGATTAGGACTAACCGATAACTAAAGAATGTCCATCAGTAAGTACTAACGCATCTGGATAAGCTTCTGCATACAAAGGCGTCATTGTAGAAACCATTCTAAGATTTACATTGGAAAATAAAAGTTTCTGATTCGAAGAATAAATGACTGCTGGCCGATCACTGCATACAAAGATATTATGAACTGGAGAACATCGAGACCGAAATTTACGCAAATGTATTGGTTGTGTCCCTAGAGTTGCTTTTTTTGGATCCAAAAGAGCACCTGAAATTAAATATATCAACAAAATGTATGGCTTATTCCTACACGGAAAAGTGAATCCAATTCCCGCGTCGTATGAGGAATGCAAATCTTTCGATAACAGAAAAGTAGCGTACAGCACGTGTCCGCCCATAATGAAACATAAAACCACTTTGTGTAAATTGAAAATGAAAATGTTAACAGAT